ATGATTCTTAAAACTATAGAATGTAAAGTTTAAATGGGCCTTTCATGTTATATCATTAAATTTAGTAAAACTATTTCTCGGGCATTAGGTTTTAACTCTTATAAGAATATACATATTTTTTTCTGTTAATGTACAAATATTTTTCCGATGTGTTTTGGATATTCCTTCTCTAATAAAAAGAGATACCATTTTGTTTTCGTTTGCATAAGAAAGAATATCAAGCATTTTTCTTTCTTAAATTCAATTAGCCACAATAAAGAAGGAACGTTGCAATGCTGCGTGCTACATTAACGACGTCTCTAGAGTAACTGAATGACTGTTCATATAGAAATCGCAGGTATTAGTCTCATAGAAGAACGCCCCCTATAGTTCGTTGCGATCGCGAATCCTCCCAATCTAGAATAACATAAAACTGTTATCTCCAAACTCCTATTCAAATTGAGCGGCCTGCGTAACCAGAGTAACAGAGAACACGTGAGTATGACGTCTGGAGGAGTTCTTGTGAAAGCTAAGCAGTACTTCCTAGTGTACGTGAAATGAACTCACAGACGATGAATGGAAAAAAATGGTGGATATGCTAATGGTAGTGTATATGGTGGATATTGCTATGGTAGTGTACATAATGTAAGTTCGTACTAATAATCTCGAAACTATAATCGATCTTCAGCTTTTCACTATTGTATAACTAAATGCGCATACCGGATATATTTTCAGCAATTATATATTTATTAGCGTATTTTTGCGCACTGTATTTAGTGATGTTTACTGAGTTTCCCGAAAATTACGAAGGATGAACGGTGCTACAAAGTTCATTTACAGATGGCACAGCTGACTGCAAAAATATTTTCTACAGCATGTGAGATACTATTTGCTCATCTAAAATTACAAAGTTAGACACAAAAAAATAAATTAATACATTTTAGTCCCTTTCTACATTTTTGTATTATTACATATAAGGTCGTTAGGCAGTATAATATGGATGATCATAACAAATTTTGGCTTGCAAAATAGTTTATTGAAGCATTCAATTACATTCTAGCAAAATTTATATAAATTTTAACAGTTGTGTTTTTTTCTGTCTTTTTATATTTAATTAAAATAACAAAAAGTTAAATAAATTTAATTAGTTGAATTTAAAAAAAATTCTTAGGAGTTCATTTTTCCTCAGCTACTCATTTCTCCATGAAATTATTCAAAGCTTCGGATTTCAAAAGATAGATTAAGAAATTACAAAATTAACTCTGGCTGGACAAAAGTAATAACAAAGCAAAGATCTTTTTCTCCTGCAGAAGTTGAATTTAGTTTATTATGATTCGCGTAAACGAGAATTTAAATATTTAATTGCAAAAAAATTTAATAGCAACTGCTCGCTAGCTACGAAAATTAGCTTAATTCGTACAGTAAATATGAATGCAGATATTCCTGACACTTTAATCTAAATTTAAAATACAGTTAAAATAAAAAAAAAAGTTATAATGTTATAATGTACTTACCAATATTCAATAATTTCGTGATTTTTATTTGGAACAGAATCTATGCTTAAAGTCAGTGTATCTGAATTTGGGCCACAAATTACAAGTTTAGAATCGACGAATTTTGGTGTTAGTAAAGATAGCTTTGGGGCTTCACACTGCGATAAAAGCTTTAAATCTTTAGTCATCAACATAAATGAACTGAAATGAAAAAAATAATTTAAAATTAGTAAACAATTTTGAAAATCCCTTATAACAAACGAGATGTACCTTTTAATGGGTGAAAATGGTTTTTTTTTTTGTATACAATGCATATTACTTAGTTATAGTTAATTAAAAAAAATCAATAAATGCACTTTTAGCAAATAATTTATAACTTAAAACAAAAAGAATATTAAATCATTCTATTGATACTAATTTCTAAAATTAAAATGCAACAGTAAAACAAGTTCCAAAAATATTTTTTAAAAAACTTATAAAGTAATAAGTTGTTACAACGGACAACTGGGTGCTTGTACTTCAAGAAGAAGAAGGACTTCCATACCTACACATGTGACCCATGACGTCAGCGCTAGCTAATATTTATCAGCAAAATGACGTAAGTTGAGCTAAGCTTCTCTACATAAGTTAGAATGTTAATTAATTATAAGTTAATTAAATGCAAAGCCGTAACTCACATCGAACTAGTTGAAATACAATTCTTTCTCGCCTACTTCTTTTACTTAACTTAGATTTATTATTTGCTGATGATTTTTATTGTAACCGTGATACACTTTTGTTTTGTGTACCTGGCAACTTCGATTCATAATTAGTTTGTTTATGTTCCACATGGCTTCATGCCTGCCTTTGTGTTAAGTCTCTGTGTAAATATATAATGAAAGAATTAAAATCTTTGAGAAAGAATTTGGAATGTGTCACTTACAGAAGAAATTCATACTTGGTGGGCTTGGCTTACTCAAAATAGAATGGAAAGAACAGTTGCTAAGATAAACAAATGCCCTGCTTCAAAAATCAATCAGAATCGATGTAATCACACTATGTCACTTGCCGGTATATCATTGTAGTGGTGCATTTAAGTGGAAATATTGTTCTACATTCAAAATCAGTTTTCTAAATAATTAAATTTAAATTTCTAAAAGGAGTTAAACTAATTAAATGCCCATTCGTTAAACGAGATAAAGTACAAATAATTTATAAGTCGTTGTTAATTAACTTTAAGCAATGATACAGAAAATGAAAGTCAATATAAACTTAATTAAAATTTACACACAAGTAAAAAAATTTTATTACTTGTTGCAATTCTCGATAACGTTCTATTACAACGATTACATTGTTAAGAACTGTTCGTGGCTCAGGGATTAGTCTCAAAAAGTTGACTCAAGATTCGAATCATAGCAATAAATGAACTATACGAATTCCCCACCCAGCTCGTTCCGATCACAGTACTAACGTAAAATATCATCAGTAGGACGACAGGGGATCATGGGTTAGAATCCTCTTGTCATCGGGCTAACTGTTTGAGATTTTTCTAGTTTTCCTCTCCATGTAATGCAAATGCGAGTTAGTTCCATCAGGACTTGCCCCCCCCCCCAGAAGTCTAATTTGTCCCAATGCTTGATTCAGGAGCTCCCTTCTCATCTGGATTGGTTTTGAAACTTAAAGGTCACGGAGTTGAATGTTGATAGCCATAAGCTGAAACGTGGTTTGTTGTTCAACATCGACCGGTTATAAAATGAAATAAAAATTGAAAAAATATCTGAAACCTGATTTTCATTTTTACGTGATTCTTAAGAACGATCCTTAGCCACCGGTTCACTGAAAGACAGAAACAGAAAAAAGTATTAGTGCAAGGAACAAAAGCAGCCGTAGTATTTATTTTACGTCGCACTAGAGCTGGTCCCTCATTGGACTGATCGTAAAGACACGGTTCCCAGCAGATCACCGAAGTCAAGCATCACTGGCTGTAGTCAGTAAACGGCTGGGTGACCACTTTCATTAGCCTGAGTAGGGACCGAGGGTGCGCTGAATCCGTTCTCGTTAAACTGTTCTACCGTAAAGTGCTCGACTTAAAAAAGGACCTACCTACTTATCGCTGTAGAGCTGCACAAAAGACTTTTGGCCACTGTCAGGGAAGTCTCCCTAAGGATGATCCGAAGACGCACCATCACAAATTATGATCCTCTGCAGAGGGGATGGCTCCTCCATTTTGGTAGCCCGACACCCTGCGCACGAAGTCGAGCACTTTACGGTAGGAGAAATTAACGAGGACCGATATCACGCACTTTCAGTCCCTACGCAGGCTGATCAAAGTAGTCAACAATCCGCTTACTGATCGCAACCAGTTGATGCTTGACTTTTACGTTCTAAAAAATTATTTTGTGCAAGCGAGTTTTATAAGCGTCCCTACGCAGGCTGATCAAAGTCGTCACCCACACGCCCACTGACAGCAGCCATTGAAGTTTGACCTTGGTGATCGACTTGAAACTGAATCTTAACGATCATTCCACTGTGGGATACGAAAAAGAACAAATTCAAGACATTCCAAATGAAATCTTTTACAAGTAAAAATAATAAAGGTTGTTTAAGAAAGTAAATTAAAATATTAGATATACCGTTCATATAATCCATGAACTACAAATCCTGATTCAGTGCATTCTGCTTCAGAGAGTTCAATTCCTTTCAAAGATTTGACAGGATAAAACAATATTTTTTTTATTCTTCCAACTCTTACGTAAGTATGTCTATTTTTCTTCCAAATGAAAGTTGCAACAGCAATTACAGTCAACAGTGGTAGGACTATCCAGCTCTTCGATACTTGAAGCATTTTGAGAAAATGTTTTCTGTAAAGAAATTTATGATTGTAGATGGCTATCATTTTCTACAGCAGTTATTTCACATCTGTTACAGAATCGTATCTGTTATTAAAATAACATTTTTTGACATAAAGATCTATTGCAAAAAGGATTTTAACGCATGGCAGATAGGTACATTATTCATGTCGCACTAAAGCTGCATAAAGGACTATTGGCAACGGTCCAGGAATCAACCCTGAGAATGATCCGAAGACATGCCATTGTAATTTTGATTCTCTGCAGAGGGGATGGATGGCTCCCTGCTTTGAAGTCCGATGACCTGCTCTCGAAGTCGAGCACTTTACAGAACAGTTTAATGAGGACCGATACTGCTCATCCTCGGTCCTTACAGTGGCTGATCAAATAATGTGTGGTTAAAGACTTTGAGATTTGTGAGTTACTTTAAACGTGCTACTTTAATACAGAGTATCCTCAGAGAACCACGTAGACATACAGTAACAAACGCCGATATGTGTGTGTTGATCCGTAAAACTATCTGCTGCGGCTTCTTCTTCTGTACCTAGATAATTAAAGGTCGAACGTCTTTTCAAATAAAAGGGATACACTTAATACCCTGTACACACATCGTAACGTTGGTAACGTATCATTTATGTAGTATTATAATTTATCGAAAATAAATAGAACACTATTACGAGTATTTATTTCTTCACCTTCTGGCCTGCATGCTCGAACGGCTTGCCGAATTGAAAAAAAAAACAGATATTACAAATTACAGAGGAACGTCAAAAATAACATCCAGGTTTACAACAGGTATTGAACCTGCTACCTTCAAAACACTTGATGAATGGGCTTTGTCCTTAAAGAGCTATTTTTTTCAGAATGCAGAAGTCCCGCAGTGGACTGATCGTTAAGACACGGTTCCCAGCAGATCACCGAAGTCAAGTATCACTGGCTACGGTCAGTGTGCGGATGGGTGACCACTTCGATCAGTCTGCGTAGGGACCAAGGGTGTGCGGTTTTGGTCCTCGTTAAACTGTGCTACCGCAAAGTGCTCAACTTCGCGCGCAGGTCGTCGGGCTACCGTAGCGGGGGTGCCATCTCCTCCTCAGAGGATCAAAATTGTGATGGCATGTAAATTAACAACAACAACAACAATCAGAATGCAGAAGAAAAAAAATTGCATACGAGTTGAACCTGATTAGAGAAATATAATCACCAGCGAAAAATCCGACCAACCAGATTCGTATTCTGAAGCAGATTTCTTTAATGCATTGAGAATGATCCCTAAGTGACGAAAACTTCAACGAATACTTTATTTTATTTTAAAACTGTCGTTGAACAGGGGTTTGCGACTACTAATGTTCAATTCCGCAGCCTTGTAATTTTGAACACAATCCAGAAGACAATCAAACTCCTGGATCAAGTATTGAGAAAATGTTGCCTTATCGGAGGACTTTTTGATGAAACTAACTCACATTTGCATTACATGGAGAGGAAAACCTCGAAAACCTCCCATGGTTAGCCTGACGGCAAGGGTACTCAAACTCATTATCCATCTACCACTGAGGATATTTCACGTCAGCACTGTGGTCAGTGGAAGCCGGGTGAGGAATTCGTATCCCTCAGTCATCGCTGGGATTCGAACCCGGTTCACCTCATTGGAAAACGAACGATCTATACCCTGAACCACCACGGCTGTTCATTGAAAACTTCGAATTATTCATCAAGTTGAGGGCTGGGATAGCCTGTCTTGTAGGGGGCGTTGGGCCCTTGTCCGAGAGGCTGTGAGTTCGATCCCCGATGGCCAAAGTAACAAATTTACGACTGGTGCACGTTAAATCTGTCGGGGTCTCAAAGTTCTCCAAGTTCCCATTAATCAATATCTCTGGAGGTAATTGATCGGAGATTGATCGTGCTCTTGTTCAGGTCAAAATTACGATCTGCGGATAGATGGATGGTTTGTGAATGTTACCTCCCTGCAAAAAGGGATAGGATGTATGTATGTTGTCTCCGGATCTTCCTCAGGGATGTTTCCTAGACCGGCGAAAATAGCCCGTAGCTCAGCTGTAGTTTGACGTAAATAAAAAGTACAAAGTATTCAATCAATCTAGCGATTTTAAACAAGCCTCTTAACAGGCACCCAAATCAGGAGAGCCATCCTCTGTGCAGAGGATCGAAATTGCGATGGCATGTTTTCGAATCATCCTCAGGGATGCTTCCCAGACAGTCATCAATAGCCCATTAAGCGACGTAAATAAATTACCTACCTACCTTAACAGACATGGGTAAAACAGAGCTGTTAAAGTAAACTCTTCGCACTTAATCATAATTGAAAGCGGACATATTTTTCGTGAGTTGTCGTCGTTTGTGATTGTAAGTCTTAGGAGGACCGGGAAGCAATAATTTTATTTTAAATTCCAATAGATAAACTGTTAGAAAATTTTTATTTTTAGACAATGTTGTGATCCCCCTCGTTATCAACAATCTCCTAGTGAGCAAATTGTAAGAATTGCTACCTAAAATGAAGAAATCACTCGTTTTTCCTGGTAAGCTTGCTCAGTCTATCTTGAATACTTTTTTTTACTACATATTCTTGATGATACATTTGTACACAATGACAGGTAACATTTAAAATTTCAAGTTTTTTGTTCAATTTGTTTACTGTATCTTCTACTCGAATCAAAATTAACTTTTACTTCAAATGTTTGATGCAAATCTTTTAAAAAAAAAGAAAAAAAAAAGCTATTTTCATGAAATTCAAACTATTATTCTAACTTTAAAATAGTATCGAAATTCTTCAGTATGATTTAATCAAATTAAATTGCTGCTGTTCATTTACATCGCACTAGAGCTGCATAATGGGCTATTAGCGACAGTCTGGGAAACATCCTTGAGGATGCTCCTGCTATCACAATTTTGATCTGCTGCAGAGGGGATGGCACCCCCACTTCGGTAGTCCGACGACCTGCTTTCGAAGTGAAGCATTTTACGGTAGAACAGTTTAACGACGACCCATACAGCACACCCTCGGACCTTTCGCAGACTGATTCAAGTGGTCACCCACCCGCACACTGACCGCAGTCAGTGATGTTTGACTCTGGTGATCCGCTGGGCGCCGTGTCTTAACGATCAGTTCACTACGGGGACATCAAATGAAGTTAAAATTCTTCTTGGCATCGTTGATTCAAGTATTAGATCAATAGTTTGGCAATTGAAAATTGTGAAAAAAAGCTTTTTTTTTCTCCATTAATTTTTTTATCTCAATATTTCCAAAAATATGGAAATCTTGACAAAAAGGAAGTACAATTTTTCTGCATTATAAAGTTGCAATATGAAGCATAATTCATTCAGATTTGATTGTTTTTTTTAAAAAAAGTGGAAAATTGAATAGAATAATAATATTTTGATACATTCGTAATAACCACACTGTTTTGTTAAGTGACGATTGTCATTTCACGTCGATGAAAAATTTTGTGTATTGAATATTTAAACGAACTGTTAATTGAAATAAGAGATATTTATCGCATTTTTGAAGGTTTTTAACATACATGATAAAATGAAACCAAATTTAAATTTTTTCCCCACTGTTTTATTTTATTTTATAACCGTTGTTGAACAGCCGACCCAATTTTATGGGTTCATGACTATTAAAGTTCAACTCCGTAGTCGATAAATATGGACAATTTATTATATCAGGTATTATATTAATAAATTTGAATAATTAGACCAAATTAATGGACGCATTGTAGTGTTTTAATAATGACATGTTTTGCACGAGTTTATATGCAATACTTTTATATTTAAACATACATGTAATGGGATTTATTCAGGAGATTTTTTATATGCTTCCTATTTGCATTAATATATTATTTTTTTAACGTATTGCATTACAATGTTAACTAATTGATACACGAACATAAACAAGTACAAACCGGTTTTAGCCTCGTAAAAACAATAAAGCTGTTTAGTATCACCTGATAATTAAGATTTTACATAGAATATTATAGTGCGTCTAATAATGCGGCCAGAGACTATAGTTTATGTAATTTAGGTTTGAAATTTCTGACTTGATATTTTTTAATTTAAAACACAGAAGAAAAAAACTATGCTCGCGACACCTTGTAACGATGAATAATTTGACATCACAATTTTAGTTTTTAATTTATATATTTTTATATGTTTTGACACATTTACATGTTAAAGAATTTAAAAGAACATGTCTATTCAAAAGAATATTATTCATTGTTTATGTTTGTAAGATTAATTTTTTTAATACTTGTTTAGAAGGAATGTTAATAATAAGATAAAATGTTATATCCTAAATGCAATAAAACACACACAAATAATAATAAAATGTTAAGTTAAATGTAAATTGATATTTGTATACATTTAAACATAACATTTTATTAGTATTACACAATCTATAACGTTAATAATTTTTACCTCATTGCAGCAAGAAAACATTTTTCAAGGTAATATACATTAACGCAGAAAAAACCGCTCCTAACTCCGCTACAAGGATACAGATTGAAACAGATTGTTCGTATAAGGACTGGCAATTATATTTCTAACCTCCCTTTGGTTATAGAAACGTATAAACATTGTTTAATTTTTTATGACCTTGATGTGTCACTGTTATTTTCTAGCGTTTGCGTTGACGTGCAAAAAATAAATAAATAAAAAATATTGCCTCAAATTTTTGTCCACATAAATTTCTTTTTACTATACATTTGCACTATCCTACTTGCGCTTTCAGGTTTTGTGATTTTCTTCTTTTAATTTCGCAATAAATACCTAAAGAACTATTTTGTATTAGAAATATTTAGTTCATGCTATTTTTCATAATTTACAATAAAGTTTAAAGCTTTCCGAGGTTTGAGAGACCGACAATAAATTACGAAAGTAAAGAAGTATTTTTGAAGATCCTATGCCAGAAAATCAAGCAATAAGCTTTTATCTTGTATCAATTACTTAAGTTGTTATTGTAACTTCAAAAACACTGAGTAAAATTAAACAAATTTTTTAGAACAATTTAAAATTAATTACAAAATTGTTTTAAAATTTGAAAACAATTATTAAAAAATGCGCAAGACATAGCATTTAAAATAGTTCTTTTGTACTGTGCATGCGCAAAAAAATTTTAAAATAATTTTAGCAGCATATATATAAGCAGCATTTCGAACAAAAATAAAAATAATTGTGTTTAGAACCCTTGCCAAGAATGTTTCTAGATAAATGGTAAATTATTACTAGCATGATATAATGACATAAGTAAAATTTAATTATCATAATTTATTAATTTATGGTTTGAAAAGCAAACCATAAAGGAATTGCAAAGCAATTTTCGTGGGATGGGAGAGCATCAACGAGCAGGGGCCGAGCTCACTAGTATTTTCCAATTTTAGACAAGGATTCTAAAGATTTATCTTAAGGGCAGTGAATACAGACCATCCTGTACAGCGGTCACTCGTAAGTTGACATATATGTAAGTTGGTCACTCGTAGGATAGCAATTTCATGGCCCACTTAAACGAGGGTTAAACTCATAAAGAGCATGTAAGTTAATTGCTTTTGTCAGTTTTTTACTGACTTTATTTTTCTTTTTTAACTGTCGTTGAACAGCCGACCCAATATTTTGTGTTTACGACTACCAATGTTCAATTCCATAGCTTTGCAAATTTCAACCCAATCCAGAAGACAAGGGAACTCCTGGCTCAATTATCAATTATTTGCCTTCGTGAGGGATTTTTTGATGGGACTAACCCGCATTTGCGTTACATGGAGAGGAAAACACCGAAAATCTACCACGGTTAACCTGATGGTAAGGGGATACTAACCCCTGATCTATCTACCACGGAATATATTTTACGTCAACACTGCGGCCAGGTGCGGAATTCGTATCGACCAGATTCGAACCTGGATCATTTCATTTGGAGTAGCGGTCTATCTTCTGAGCCACCACTATTCAACATTTTATAATTATAACTTCTATATGCATTGTATGAAAGATAATAATTACTTTAACATGAAACATGATGACGTAGGGGATAGAGCGTTTGCCTTCCAAAGAGGTGAACCGGGTTCGATTCCCAGCGATGGCTGGACGATACGAATTCCGCATCCGGCTTGAACCGACTACAACGATCGCGTAAAATATCCTCAGTAGGTTACTGTCCCCTTGCCGTCAGGCTAACTGTGGCAGGTTTCCGCGGTTTTCCTCTCCGTGTAACGCATATGCGGGTTAGTTCCATCAAAAAGTCCTCCACGAAGGCAAATTTCTCTCAATACTTAATCCAGGAGTTCCCATGTCTTCTGGATAGGGTTCAAAATTACAAGGCTACGGAGTTGAAAATTAGTAGTCGTAAACCCAAAAAATTGGGTTTGCTGTTCAAGGACGGTTATAAAAAAATAAATAAATATAATTACATTAACATGTACAAAACTATAAAATTGCTAAATTTGACTCGAAAAAAAAGTGGTCCAGCGTTAGCAATCTTCTGTTTTTACATAAATAATGTAGCGTCTTTTATGCGTAAGACATGGTTTTAATTTTAATTTCCAAAGCTCCTAAATTCTAATTTTATTTTAAAAATATATGAAATTATAAAATTTTATAAAATTATAAAATTATATAAAATTATAAAATTATAAAATTATAAAATTATAAAATTATAAAATTATAAAATTATGTAAAATTATAAAATTATATAAAATTATAAAATTATATAAAATTATGAAGTTAAAAAGGTACAAAAAAAATGAAAAGTTTACATTTTTTTATTTAAAACCAAAATACTCTCAATAGTTTAAATAAAAACTTAAAGCTCGTGAGCAAAAAGAAAAATGTATTATTTTGTAATAGAATTCAGCTTATTTGTTTATTTTATTTTATTCATTTTTTTTGAAAGGAACAAAGTAAAAACAAAGAAAAGATGCTAAACCTATCTTTCCGTAGAAGAATAAAAAAAAAATTTTACTTTTGAACTTTGATCTAGATATCTCGCAATGCAAACAACAGAATTTGAACAAAATGTAAGAAATAGTAAACTTGAATAGTCTGATTTATCGAATAATAAATCGATACATTTCATAATAAGCGTATGACAATAGTAATAGTTCAAACTTATAAACAGTGTAGAAAAACAAGAGAAGGAAAAATAACGTTAAAGCTATACCAAATAGGATGTATACGCCTGTCGATTGCAGCAAGTACTTGAATAATATCTGATTTGTTTAAAGATAGGAGGTTAAAATCTAAAAAACTGTTAACCTAGCTAGATTAAATTCGAAATCACATTCTCGATACGATTGAATGGCAATTCTAATGTATGGTTTTAACTTACGTAATTATCTTAACATTTCTTTTGATAGAATGCAAAAAAGTAGGGAATAAACTCACTAAAATTATATTTATTATCGAGCATTCCGGAAGTTCGGGGAATTTTAAAAATCAGCTAAAAAATAAAATGGATTTTTCGTTCTACTCAGACAAAAACCCAAATTTTTTCCCTCACTCAGGATTTAAAAATAGTTATAAAATTTGTCAACAAATGGCACAATAAAGGAAAACTATAAGAAAGTTTTCTGCTATATACGAGAATATAATCCGACTGAAATATTTGCACAATTGTCTGACAATTTCGTCTTCAGACTGTACCATGCTGTTGCTGTAAAAGCTGGTTAATTTGGAAAACTGTGCTTTATAGTTTTTTCTAGTCAACAGCACCATCTGTTGGCTTACTTAGTTGCTAGATTTTATTATATTATTGCTGGCGTTAAACAACCGACCCAATTCTGAGTTTACGACTATCAATGTTTAACTCCATAGTATTGCAGGTTTAAATTCAACCCAGAAGACAAAAGAACTCCTGGATCAATATTGGGACAGACTAGTCTTCGTGGAGAGCTTTCTGATGGAACTAAACCTACGGGGGGAGGGAACTAACAGCATTTGCGTTACATGGTGAGGAAAACCACGAACATTTTTCACTTATAGCCGGACGGCAAGGGGATTCTAAACCAATGATCCGCCTACTACTGAAAAATTTTTACTAATATAAGTATAAATATTAAATTAAACAAAAATGAAGACCAGAATTTTAGTAAAATAAGCCAAAATGGAAAAGCACCATAAGCGGCTGAAAGCAAAACTGCTTAAAACTGTCTTAGGCAAACAATTTAAATAAAAATGTGAGAAGTTTAAATAAACCCAATCAAATTTTAAAGATACGTGTTTAAACCACTGACAACAGAAAGGCTCCAACACGTAAGTGTATCCAATTATGAAGTAGTACTTGTACTGCTTTTAATTTCATTTTATAACCATTGTTGAACAGCCTACCCAATATTTTGGGTTTAAGACTAATAATGTTCAACTCCGTATCCTTGTAATTTTGAACCCAATCCAGAAATCTCCTGGATCAAGTGTTGGGATAGAAATGTGCCTTCGAGGACTTTTTGATGGAACTAACCCGCATTTGCGCTGCATGGAGGAGGAACCACGAAAACCTCCCACTGTTAGCCTGACGTCAAAGGGACTCAAACCCATGATCCGTATACCACTGAAGATATTTTTTTGTAGTTGTAGTTTATTTACGTCACACTAGAGCTGCACAATGAGCTATTGGCGACGGTCTGGAAAACATCCCTGAAGAGGATCCGAAGACATGCCATCGCAATTTAGATCCGCTGTAGAGGGATGACTCCCCTGCTTTGGTAGCCCGACGACCTACACGCGAAATCGAGCACTTTACGGTAGAACAGTATAACGAGGACCAATACCGCACACCCTCGGTCTCTATGCAGACTAATTCAAGTGCTCACCCACCAGCACACTGACCGCAGCCAATGATGCTTGATATTTTACGTCAGCAGTGTGGTCGATGCCAGCCGGATGCGGAATTCGTATCGACCAGCTATCGCTGGGATTCGAACTCGGTTCACGTCATTTGAAGGCGAGCTCTCGATCCCTTGAGCCATCACGACTCTGAAGTACTGTATGAGCTATCATGGGTGTCTTTAAAATCTGTTTGGTTTTTATTTAAATTGAAAATATTTTGCGTCGGCACTGTGGTCTGTGCTAGACGAGAGCTGACTTTGTATCAACCACCCACCATTTATTTTTGTCACCATTTATCACCAGTTTTATTTTTGGTATTAAAATCGTAATTTGTGTGTGCGTCATCTACATACAGGATACAAGGAGACAATCTTCACATGAGAGACATATACTTACCCAGTTGTTTAAACTTCAAAACAAGTTTGCATTTAAATAAAGAAGAAAACACAGGCGGATAAAAAAAAAGGTGTATTTCTTTCAATTTTCAACATACAACAAAACAGTTTAAATGAAGCAAATGTCACTCATTAAAAAAGCTTTATTTCTGTACTGTGTCCAGTGGACGGGTGATTGTAGCGTAAATTTCATCCTGTACTTTGATAGTTCCAGTTTTTAATACAAAGCAACCAGTTCCAAAACAAGGAATGGAGCCAAGTATTTTTATTATTTTAGGATCCTTTGGTATTCGATACCTAGAACAAAAATGATATTCAGTATTAATAAAAGATAAATATATAGTTAAATTTAAAATGTAGGAGGTTTTTTTTAAGTAAGGGCCTCAGAACACTAATAGGTGACGCATGTGTCGCAACGAGTGCTTGTGTCGTATCCCGGCATTCCTCGGGAACAACTGCGCTCAGTAGCAGCTGTGTAGGTATAGTTCGTTCACCAGCAGTTGGCACCTGACTCCTCCTCCTTGGACGAAGAATTCATTTCAGCGCGGGAGTGAGAGGAGAAACGTATCCGCGCTTGAAATTAAGACAACCCTTAATGTGCGCTAAACGCAAACAGCGAATTCTCGTTCAGTCACTTACTTCGATTTATCATCTGCAATTATACATTTCGTTACTCTAGCTAATTAAATATATTGCGAAAAAATGACTCAAAAAGGACAAATTTTTCACTCAAAGAGAGAAACGTCATCAAATTTATGAAATATTTAATGTTAAAAAAAATTACATGAAGATTGTGAAGTAAATAGTTTGTCATACGATCGCCAAATAGTAACCTTGTTCAGGATTGTTCACATCCTTCTCCCAAAAATAGCGAAATAATATCGTCGGATACCACGTGATGAAGGCGGATCCAAGTGCCAACTCCTGGTGAACGAACTATAAGCTGTACGGTCAGTTCTGTGACTTTAAAATGTTGAAATTTAAAAAATCGCTCGCCATGCATGAGAAACGGTCAGTGATTGGTGAGTATTTTTAATCACTTTTAAGTGTTATTGCAATAAGCCAACATATATTTAGACTAATTCAAAAAATATATCATTCATTGCTCACCCTCATAAGTATTCCCTGGAATTTTTTAAATTGGGCCCATAAAATATGGTGGAATAAAGGGAATAGTTACAGTCTAAAAACGGTGATTCCAACAGTTTTGTTACAAAAAAAATTCTTGTAGATGCTTATGAAACTAGTTTGCTCAAAATAATTTCCCACAAAAAAGAATTTTTAATAGTTATTCATTAATTTATTTATTTTTAACATGGAAATTTTTTTTAAATACCAAGGCATAGCTTTTTTTATAGTAATATAATAATCTACGCTCTTTTCTCTAATGAAATCTGAAATTACCATTATTTTTATATATTAGATAACTAAAAAAACAGAAATATAATATACTTTTTTATAAAAATATGTATAAGGAAAGAATGTATAAGGAGCGATGGGTGAATTTTTATGATGAACATTGAAAATACTAATTTTAATCGTTTTTTAAGAAACTCTGCCCTTTTATATTCTTAATTTCTTTGCTAGAATTCGATGATAATTCTTTCATTTATAGAGTACGGTAAAAAAAAAAAATCTCCTCGTTTATACAAAACGATGTAGGGTTATTCTTTTGTTTAGTAGTTAATTGTAATTCTCCTATTTCTGATTTATACATTTAAAAAAAATATACTAAATTTAAGAATACGTGCCTTTTTTGAATTTATGTATTTGTTGGAAGAGAAAGATTAAACATAAAATAAGGAATTTTGTGACTTATCAAACTAAAACAAATCAGATATTGATCTACTCACTTTCTTAAAGTCGTCAATGGCTCTTTTTGAGTTAAAATTCCTTTATCGGGATCAACCGTTGTCATTAAGCATCTGAAATAAAGATGAAAAAAACAAAGAATGAAACAAGGAAAGCAAAAAAGACAAAAACTGAGAAAAAATTTCAAGTAAATTTTCTGACAGCCATTTTATTTTTCGAAAACTGTACATTTCTTAGCTTACCTAGTGATAGGAAAAACATTTTCCATTTCAACTTCCTCTCCAAATTTTATGTATTGCCACGAATCCTATAAAAATCAATATTGTATCATTTATAAATTGGTACTTTCTGGTAAGCAAGTATATTCAAACATTTTTGTTTGCAATTTAATTATTTATTATTTCTGGAGGTGACGGCCATTTTGTTTTGTGTTTAAAAAAATATGTTGAATTGACTTGAGCCTGTCTAACCGAACATTTATTTGCAATTTTATTATATACCAGGTGTAATAGAAATAAACCATAATTTCAAACATATTAAATTATAAAAATAAAAGAACATAGAAATAAATGTACTGCTTGCTGCATTCAATGTTTTTAATTTTATAATTTTTCCCCGCCGGATACGCTATCTGTTGACGAGTTTCGTAACTAATATTGATTGTGCATTTAGCTATGGCTTTTCTAATTCAGAGGCTCTACTCAGGAACGCAACCGAGATTAATGCTTAGGGGGTAAGTTAAAAAAAAGTAAACTGAATTGATCGATTATTTTATGCTCTGTTTAAAGCTTCTTTTCCATTAAATTTTATACCTGGTCACTTAAGACGAGCGCAGAACGTGGTCGAAATTTATTTATTTATTTGTTTGTTTATTATTATTTTTTTTTGCAATTTTAACCGATTTGTGCTAGGCTTCCTTTTAAAAGGACGATTCCTTTTTGACGAAAAAATTTTTTAGCTCAAGCGTTTAGATACATTTCATTCAGAGACACCAACTACTACGGATTCTGAATAATTTTTGAACATATTTATCCTAGTTATATAGAACATATTTATTATTTTTGAACATATTATCGCAAGGGTAATGTATTTATATTTTAGTAAATTAGAATTAACACTTACCATACCATAGCCGGTCAAATGACCGTTTAAGAACTTTTGCATCAAAAATGAGCTTATCATCTTTGTTACAAATTTGACTTCATGACTTTTTCTAACAATTATATAGAGTAAATATTCCATTATTTTCTTTCTGTGTTTTGTTTGTTTCAAATAATACTTGTCTTATACCTATTTCTACCACATTTGACAGGGAAAACAACTTATTGCCTTATAAGGTAATTGGATGAGAAATCACGATGTAATGCTTGTTCAACGTATTGCATTCGATGAGTTACACATTTCAGCAAAGAATGTTGCATAGTTAGTTCAATCAGAATGACTGTGAATTCAAATTTCAAGAAAGTACCTAAAATTTTAGATTGGCATTTTTGTCTAAGGAAAAGTGACAAAAACTAAATGTTTTGGTAAGTAGCTTATATTCTATTTTGATAACTTTACTTCAGTTCGAACTAACTGTTAATTTTTACCCAGAAAAATATCGAAACAATCAAGACAACAAAATTTCTTAAAAGAAATAATATTAATTATAAGGATTATAATTTTTATATATTCTTATAATTATAAGAATTATGGAAAGAATAATAATTAGAAGAAATATGCTTGCGGAAAATGCATAATAGAAACACCCTGTATAGGTAAAAAATGCGTTGAGCAATGAATTAAAAATTCTTATTCTTTGGGTTTGTAATACATAAAAATTGGCAATATACAATTTTGTTTAATTATAATAAAGTTTTTTTTTAGTTTATTTCCTTTTTAACATCCCTATTTCATACATTCAATCAAGAAACAGTCCGGTCATTTGACCGGCTATGGTAGAAATAGGTATAGATTAAGTGTTGGTATTTTTAGTGTTAAAGCAGAATTTTTTTTAAAAACAGATTTTTTGAAGAAAAAAAACAGAACTTAAACATTTATCTATATGACCTTAGATGTTTAAATTACTCGCGCTTAATGCTGGACAAAAATGTTTTATTTCCCAAAAAATGAAAAAAAATAATTCACCTTGAATAGTTAGTCTAGAATAGAATGCGTTAGTTACTATTTAGAATAGAATAGAATAGTTACTATTTCGAAAATATTCACTGAAATATTGCTTACTGTTGGCAAAAGTAGATTTTTTTGTCCTTTGCAAAAATTACCTTTAACTTTTGTGTCTCGAGTCAATCAAAAGTACATATATCCTAATAGCAGTTAGCATGAGAGCCGCGGTGACTCAGGATATAGAACACTCGCCTCTCAATGAGGGGACCCGGGTTCGAATTCCAGCAATGGCAGGGAGATATGAATTCCGCACCCGGCTCGTACCGACCACAATGGCTGATATAAAATATCCTCAGTAAAAGAAGAATAATAGGTTAGAGTCCCCTTGTAGTCAGGCAAGCAGTTGGAGGTTTTCGTTGTTTTCCTCTTTATGTAACGCAAATGCGGGTTAGTTCCAACAAAACGTTCTCCTGGAAGAAAAATTTCACCCGATACTTGATCCAGGAGTACCCTTGTCTTCTGGATTGGGACCAAAATTTCAAAGCTACAGAGTTGAACATTGGTTTAACCTCAAAATTTGGGTCACCTATTCAACGCCGGTTATAAAATAAAATAAAATAGTTAGCATGGTGGAATTCGAACAAAAAATATATATTGAATCATGTAAATCCTTGTGTAATTCTAAAAAGGCAAAATGACCTTCAACTTTGACCTTTCTAACCAAATAAAAAAAAATTGAGAAGCATTTTTCTTTTTTCAAAACTAAAAACCATCTGTCGAATAGTTTTAGATAAGCAGAAATTTCGAAAAACATCAAAAATGTCAATATCTAAAAAACGGCTTTAGAAAAGTATCATCTGCTAACGATCTTTTTAAAAACTATTTTTGAACGTTTATTAGAATAAAAACTGGTTTCTTATGAGGAACACAACACATTTCTATCTCCTTACGTTTTTCTTTTTAATAGAATTTCTTATACAGTTGATCAATTTTCAAACATTCGGTAAACGACTTAAAAGGACTCTAAAAATGTTCTGACAAATCATGAGAAAAACATATTATAAAATAGAATAATATTAAGTGCATTTACTTCCGCAAATGGTGCAGCACATCCATCAACTAAAATGTTGGGACGGAAATTTCGGAAAGAAATTTGTTTCTCAACAAGCCTGGAGTTCAAATCATCAATTGATGACTGTGACATAACATGAAATGTAGCTATGTCTTGAAGGGAAATCTGTTAAAGAAAAGCATTCGCTATAATCAAAAACATTTTGACTTAAAAACAGTTATATATATGAGTATGACTATAACACTGTATAAAGGGGGATTCTATGTGACATTCACAAACTTAGAAGAAGGACATCATAAAGATTAGGAATTGCATAGTTAAACGCGCCACAATAACCTCATTAACAATTTTGTATTAATATAAGTAGCTATTGTCAAAAATTGCTGTGAAATTTGGCCAAAAATAACTGTTTCACCGTTAATTAATAATTTTTCAACTAATTTGCAAGTTGTTCTTCAAATATCTAAAATACTATGTACAGTCAAACACAGCTATAGTGAACCTTCAAGGGACCGAAATTTTTGTTCACTATAACCGGGAGTTCACTATATCCGTTACTCAGGCAATTTAACTAATGGTTCCCAAACTCCTCCCTTTTATTGCACATTATTCAAATAAATGACTGAAAAATATTATGTAGTAGCAAAAAATTTGTTATTTTTCGTTACTCTTCGTCTTGTGAGCAAAAAAAAATTAGTAATTTTTAGCTGACGAGCAATCCTTAACATCAGATATGGAAACACTTCCTGACTCTCAGATAATTTTTCCTGAATTTCTGTTATTCCACTTTTTAAACATGTCTAACCTGCCATTCGAGAACATAATAGTAGTCTCATAAGATAACTTAGAAAATTCATCGACATTTGTCCAGAAGCTGGAAGATTGCAGCTTCTTCTAATGCTGAACCACTTCAGTAATGCTTCTTCAACCTCCTTGTGATCTGCTTTTCTAAACTTTTTTTCAGCCTTCTAAATTTTTTTCATGAACAGAAATTATTAATTGCCTATTTTTCCATATGTTACAAACTGCAGTTTTGGATAGTTTATATTCCCAGCAAATATCAAGTTGATTGTATTCATTTTCAATTTTTCTAATTATGCCCATTTTATCATCAATGGAGAACGTTTTACGTTTACTGGTCACCATAGTTAAATTTGAGACACTTGTTTGCAGACTTTTTTTAACTGAACTGACAGCAAAAAGGAGTTGAAATGAGGGCCTTATCAACACATATTAGTGTCCAACCCTTTGACCAATAACGAATAATTCCCTCTGACGGAAAATGCATATTGATCTCACTGACACCTTACATGTGCATCTTCTGCCTGGGTTGGAAACATCTGCTTGGTTTGTTTAAGGATGGGAAAGTGAGATAAAAGAAGCAAACAAGAAAAAATGCTTATCGCTACAATCCCCTCTATAGATGGTTTTAAATATTGGTATATGTATTTATTTTGAAGTAGAAATTTCAAAATATTACACAAAAAAAAATGAAAAAAATCTGCTGAAGACAGAAAAAAGTTCATTATATCTAACTTCCTCACTTTTTTGGATCACTATATGCACAAAAAATAACATTATGCGTATATAGCAAGGCACGGGACCGAACATTTCGTTCACTATATCCGGGAGTTCACTGTAAACTGTGTTCACTATGAAGTTCAAAATGAAGAATAAAACAAAGAAAAATTAAAGACATATGAACATATGAAAAAAGGGGGAAATAATAAGTAAAAAAATAACAAACAACAGTTTAAAAAAAAGAAAAAAAAAGGATGAAATTTTATTTAAAAAACCGGGGAAAAAAAAGAAAGATATAATCCCTTCATCAGCCCACATGATTATATCCGTAAAACAGAGTGCTTTCTGATATTGTATCAATAAAGCCAAAGCAAAATATATTAATACAATAGTGCGAGGAGCACTCAAAAATTTTTTTTATAAAAATTACAACAAATAAAATAGAACACAAAAGGTAAAAATAAGTAAAAATAACATGTAAAAACAGAAAATAAAATAAAATAAAATGAAAAAACAGTTAAACATGGACTATAAAGCGAGTAGCGAAATCAGATAAACTTACATGGACGGAAATTTTTCAAGAATGATTTAATTATGTTTTCGCAGAAAGATTGCCAGATTACAAAATATGAAGACAAAAGCGCAAATTGAGTGCAACAAGAGGGTTTTAAAGTGTCGTTCTTACTGCACTGCTGAAGTGATTTGTTATTCTGTGCATTGATTTGTTAGTTACCAAGGATGGGCCCGAAATGGATGTGCGCAAGGTAATATTATACTGGATAATTTTAAAAATTGACCATAAATAGTTTTAGAAAATAGATGTTTATTTATATATATATATATATATATATATATATATATATATATATGCACATATGTATATATATATATATATATATATATATATATATATATATATATATATATATATATATATATATATATATATATATATATATATATATATATATATATATATATATATATATATATATATATATATATATATATATATATATATATATATATATATATATATATATATATATATATATATATATATATATATATATATATATATATATATATATATATATATATATATATATATATATATATATATATATATATATATATATATATATATATATATATATATATATATATATATATATATATATATATATATATATATATATATATATATATATATATATATATATATATATATATATATATATATATATATATATATATATATATATATATATATATATATATATATATATATATATATATATATATATATATATATATATATATATATATATATATATATATATATATATATATATATATATATATATATATATATATATATATATATATATATATATATATATATATATATATATATATATATATATATATATATATATATATATATATATATATATATATATATATATATATATATATATATATATATATATATATATATATATATATATATATATATATATATATATATATATATATATATATATATATATATATATATATATATATATATATATATATATATATATATATATATATATATATATATATATATATATATATATATATATATATATATATATATATATATATATATATATATATATATATATATATATATATATATATATATATATATATATATATATATATATATATATATATATATATATATATATATATATATATATATATATATATATATATATATATATATATATATATATATATATATATATATATATATATATATATATATATATATATATATATATATATATATATATATATATATATATATATATATATATATATATATATATATATATATATATATATATATATATATATATATATATATNTATAATTTTTTAAAGAGAAGAAGGAAAACTATTTAAAAAAAACATTACTAAAAATATTACTAAACTTTAAAATTTAAGAAAATCGGAGATTTAAATTTGATTTTGTTAACATGCCTAAAGTTGACTCCAAAACCAAAACGGGGAAAGATATTAGCAATATTATAATAAATGGGGGGAAAAACCGGTAAAGTGACACGTTCTCTGTAAGGATTAGAAAAAGAGGGGTGTTTGGGTCTAGTAAGTTTAAGCAAGAGCTGAATCAGTTAGAGAAGGGCTAAATCTTTGGATAGCAATGAGCGAACGGAGGAAGTTAAGTTCGAAGTTTAAAAAAGAAGAGTCAGAGAAGTTGCCCAGAAAACGAAAGTATGAAATTCAGAACGAAAGTTTCTCGCAATTAGGGTGATTAGGATTAACATAACGGGGCAAAGAAAATGCGAAATATTTACGATAAATAGCAGTGGAAAAATGATTAAGGTATTTAGTTACAAGAACTTCTAAATTATCTTCTTATTCTCATTTTTTCTCATTCCCGCCGGCAAGTCTTGAAAATGTGCTCCGCTTTTGAGCGTTTGAAACATGTTTGCTGTTATTTCTTATTTATGGTGTCTTGGGATATTCATCCACTTTTAGATGCACCAGGATAATTTTTTTAAAACATTTTTTCCGCACATGTGCTGTATAAAGCAACTACTTCAATTACTCTTATCTGGCACGGTTTTTATTATTATTTTTTTCAATTTTAAAGCAATAATTTCGTTATCAGTTTAAAATTGATTCAAACGCTTTGTTTAATTTTTTTTAAATATTTAAGCTATAGCAAAAGTGGCACTAGACCTAGTATATATTTCGTACATTTACCAAAGGACTAGTTATACTAGGTCTGGTTAAGTGCCACTGCCCGGTATACCCTACACTGATGTTTTTTAAGGTCAAGTGCCACTGCCCGGTATAAGCCACACTGATGTTTTTTTTAAGGTCAAGTGCCACTGTCCGGTATGCATTTGCCCGATACTCCAAACACTGATGTTTGTTCTAATCTATCGTGGTGCAATCAACATACTAGGTTCAAGTACCAAAGTTAGATACCTGGTGAACCATTAAACTTGTATGTATTTTCTAAGTATTCTCCTTTCTGAAGAATAACGAACTGAACTGAATTCAAAGTCAATGAAATGTATTGCAAAAGTCTGTTCTTTCTCTCTTTTTGCACTTTGCTTTATACTTTTTCATATATTCTACGTCTTTGATTATAATGCTGGATGCTTTTGATTTTGTTGCTAAAATGTTATTAAAGTTAAGTTTGAATTTCTCATTTCTCCTTTTTTATCTTTGACGATTGATCAATTTAAAATGCAGGATATAATACACGCAACCTATCTCTCGCCAAAGAAGGTTTTAATGAAGTTGCTTGTTGTTATGTAAAACGTGGATTTACTTTCTAAAAACGCCTCACGTGATTTAGAATTTTTATAAGTAAATAAGAAAATAAATGAATCCACTTCTTACTGGATGTTTCTCTCTTAATTTCTTGAAAAACTGATGATTTTGTACAAACTTTCTTTTGGGAAAATCGGGAAAGAAATGAACTAATCGAATATTGGGCCTTTTTAGAAAATTCTGAAACCATTTTGATGCTTGTTCGCCGCAATCAACAACATAACACACTTCTCCATGTACCCTAAAAAGTAACATCGAAAAATTAAATAAAGTGCATAAAATGGGAAAATTAGAATAAACTATTAATGTAGTACATATGTCGAGAATAGTCGTATTTTTAAAATAAGCAAATAAAAACCTTATTGAATTCAAATTTAATGCTTTAAGCAAAGGGTGCGACAGTTTTTCTCGTGACGGTAAATCAGTAGCAATATACTTACTGACATTCAATAATTTTATCATCCTTGTTAGGAGTGGATTCTATCTTTACAGTCAAAGGGTCTACGTTAGGTCCAGAAATGATAAGATTTGAGTCAACAATTTTCGGCGTCAGTAGAGATAGTGTTGGTGCTTCACGCTGAGAAATCAGTTTATTATCTTCTTCCGATATTATCATAAATGAACTGGAATTCAATAAACATCAACAATTAGTTTCACTTACAATTGTAAATCACGTCAATGTTTTATAGAGAATACTTGGTATAATTTAAAATAAATTCTAACATGCGTTTGAAGAACATGTTATTTTGAAAATACTTTATTTTCCAACTTTTGGAGCATGTTGAGATCGACTCTGGTTATAAAATATTGAAGGATTTCCCACCCCAGCTCTCTACCACTCTCCAAACCCCAAAAGAATTGCCAAACGCAGTCCTTTGTAATTTGATGAACAAACTAAGTACGAAAACTACTTAGAAAATTGCTTGAAACTTTTTAAATATTTAAGATATTCAAATCGCTATAATTTAAAATAGCTATATTTACGATATTCAACGCTGGTTATAAAATAAAATAAAATCATTACAGGTTCAGCTGCTGTGAATCAATGGCTAGAGCGTTTTCCTTCCAACAAATGGACCCAGGTTCGAAACCCAAAGGTAGCGAGACGTATTTCGCTCCCTTTCACACCGACTACAGCTCCCTACACACCGGCTTAACCGAGAAGGCTAGTTTGTCCCAATCTTGATCCAGGAATTCTTTTGTCTTCTGGGTTGGTTTCAAAATTGCAATGCTACGTAGTTGAGCATAGATAGTAGTAAACACTGAAATAGGTTCGCTGTTCAATGCCGGTTAAAAAATAAAATAAATTCTTATAGCAATTTGGAACCTGTTTCAGAAGCCTTCAAAAATTTTTGAGAGCTTCAAATATAAAAATCACCAAACAAATAAATATTTTTAAAGCTGTTTCCCTCCACACTTTTGCATGGTGCTGAATTTTGGGAACATCCTCAAAACTGAAGTAGGAAAGCTGGAAATATTCCAAAACAAGTATTTAAGAATTTTCGAGCTTAACAAAGGCAAGATTATCAACCATTCATGAAGAAATTTTGAAGGGAAGATGGACAGGACATACTCAAAACGGGATAGCCTTGCTAACATTGCGATTACTTGGGCACCCGATGGAAAATGTAAAAGAGGACGGCCGAGACTTACTTGGCAAAGATGTCATGCGCACTGAGATATATGCAAATCAAAACTAAATGGATAGGAAGAGGAAAGAGGACTGGCTCAGGAAAGGGGTGCCTGGATAGGTAGGTAGGTAAGGAGCTATGCTCATTAGTTTTGTCATGTCTTGCACATACATAAACTGGTGTATGAAAAAATATTTATAAACAAAAGGATTAGGACCCCAAATTAAGTGGAGAAAAATTTCTGGTTAATACCCCCAGAGGTGTAATAAAATCTCGAAACTATTAAGATACTCCCCTTAGAAAATTTACCATAGGTTTGACATAAAAAATTACCATACGATATTCCTGTGGGATTTTGTCATATGCATATGGCAAATTTTTGCCATATGGGAAATAATAATTGCCATACGTATATGGTAAAATTTTACCATAGACAGAACCCCATTGGAATATCCTATGATAATTTTTATATATGGGTCATTCTCACGAAAACTGTCATTTTTCAGTTCATAAAATCCCAAAAAAGTAAAGTGAATAAAAAGCTCTGAAACTTTTTATATTAATAGAAATATATAATGGCATTATAAAGAAAGTATATATTCTATAAATTATACTTAATATTTAAATAAATTAATTAATTTCACTGTTTGAAAAGTGAGGGAATGACGCTAATAGTAAGGGAATGATATTTTATTTTAATACATGTTTTTCTCTAAGTTACAGCTACCTCAAGTTTGAAAATGATAGCATACTAAGTATATCTAACATTTATTATAATTTAGTTTTGCATACTTAATAGTTTTTAAAGGTTTGGGAAATTTAATAATATACTCATCTTGAATCATTCCCTCACTTCAGCATCATTTCCTCACTTTATACACTAGTGAGGGAATGACAAATTTAATGAAATTTAAACCTAACAGTTAGGCCTAATTAATTTCTGAAAACAATCACATACAATTATATTCATACAAGAAAGCAACATATAATTATCCACTTTCTCGTTGAAGTTGTATTTTATTTTACTCTAAAAAACGACATGAGGGAATGACAAATGTAAAAAATTTTACCTGGTTTGATTCATTCAAATTTATTCCACAGCAAAGCTTCTTTAAGTTGAAGATGGAAACATACTGCAATTTTGTTCTATGATGCCAGTTGTTAACTTCTGAAGTTTTTATTAAAATATTTTTATTCTAAGAAGATTGCAGGTGATAAGAACATTGTTGTGAGGGAATGACGCGAAACACTGGGGACAAAGTTTAAAATAGTGCTGTGTTAATATTTTTATCAGAAATTAAATTTAAAATTGATTTTCTGAATTCTATATTTCAGTATTCTGAAATAAAAAACACGAATTTGTAAAAAAAAAAATTTTATTTCAGAAACAATTTTTTTCTTTTTTTAAATCAGCAGTGGGGACAAGTGTTAATTTCAAATATTGGTATGTTTTAATTACCTAAAATAAATAAAAAATAAAAATTGATAATTTTATTTTTATTCTTTTGTTAGCCTGCATTCTGAAGGACACTTACCCTGAAATTTTTTTTTCGTAAGTTGTAAAACAAACTTAAAATATACTGGGGACATGAAAATGACTGTTTTTGTGAGAATGACCCATATACGAAATTTTTGCCTTAAAATTATGGTTTTTTAATTATGGTTTATTAATTATGAATTCCTGTTTATTAATAACTGTTTGTTAATTATGGTTTATTAATGATTATATTATGCATAGACAACAATAAAGATGAGTCATGAAATTACAGGGATTACTTTTCACAATGATTACGCTACAAGAATAATTAAAATGAGCGAAATTAAGGTGAGAGATTTTGCTATTAAATATATGAGAAAAGACAATAATTATGTTTACATAATTAAACATAATTATCGTTTGTAAACATAATATTATGTAAATTATGTAATATTATGTAAATCATGTTATATTATGTAAATTATGCAATATTGTGTAAATTATGTCATTATTGTATATGACATAATATTATCAAGTATTATGTAAACAGAATTATTGTTCGTATTATTATTATACGTACTCCTATCGCTGCATTTAAAGTGAGAAATTTCTTACCGGTCTAAGAGTCCATTTACTTCAAGTCCCAATTTCGTACACTTTCCTTCTGTGATTTCCAGTCCTCTCAGGGACTTCACAGGATAGAACAGTATTCTATTAATGCATCCCACTTTCACATATCGTTTTTTCTTCCAAATGAAAGCTCCCACTGCAACAACGGCTAAAATAGGCAGAACTATCCAACCGCTTGCTACTTGAGGCATTTTGAAGAAATTATTAGTTTCTATCTCTAGAAAATAAACGACAAGGTTTTAAATATGTCTAATGGCGTCAAATGAGCTAAATATTGTTTTGGAAGAAAATATTGTTCGAGCGAAATTTAAAAAAAAAAAAAAAAAAAAATTGGATACGAAGTCGTAGTTGATCTCACTGCTACTTAATCACTGCCCTAGTTACATATTTTCAGACTTTTACCAAAAAAAGTTTAAAAAAAGTTCTGCAGATTAATTTACCATTCATGTGGAAATTTTGAAGAGAAGATGGACAGGACATACTCTTTGTTTAAAACGGGATAGCCCTGCTAACATTGCCCTTACTTGGGCACCTGATGGAAAACGCAAAAAAGGAAGGCTGAGACTTACTTGACAATGCATGCTCACCAAAATCAGCAAATAAATGAGATCAGAGAATAAACGACAAGGTTTTAAATGTGTCTAATGGCTTCAAATAAGTTACGATGATGACGTCAAATGTCTAATAGCGTCAATATTTTTTCTGGAAGAAAATATTGTTCCAGCGAAATTTTAAAAAAAAATTGGATAAGAAGTCTTAGTTGATCTCATTGTTCTACAATCACTGCCCTTGTTATGTACTTTTAGACTTCTCGCCAAGACAAAAGTTTAATATTGCAAATTAATTTTTAGAGGAGTAAAAAACAAAAAAAAATAATCAAAACCTTTACGAATCATTAACGAGGAAAGCCAGATTAAAAATATAAGCATTTGCAGTAGAAACTAAGAGGAGGTGAAATGAGTTTATAAGCCCTACTGCGGTCGTGTTGATTTTTACATGTTTGTTATACTGGTCGTAATATATGCATGATAATGAAGAAAAAATATTATTTTGTCAAAATAATATTTTGTTTTTTTTTCGTTTTACCCCGTCTAAATTAGACGGGGTAAAACGAAAAAAAAAAACTTCTTCCTAACTTCAGAGCAAATCAAGCTTGTTTTGATAATTTTAATACTGCTTTCCTCGATAGTCTGATAATTTTGGAAATTCCATATTAATTTGTAACCCCTTAATAGGTATACACTTCTTTTTTTTGGTAACAAGGATTTTAAAAATCCGTATTAAGAGCTGTCATTGCGAAACATCATGTATAATTTGAATGATAGTAAAAGTCATGCGAGCCGTGGTGGTTCAAGGGATAGGTGATTCGTCTTCCAATGAGGTGACCCAGGTTCGAATCCCGGCGGTGGTTGACACGAATTCTGCTCCCTGCTCGTGTCGACCACAGTGCTTAGGTAAAATATAATCAGTGGTAGACGGTTCATGGGTTAGAGTTCCCTAACCGTCAGGCTAACCGTGGGAGGTTTTAGTGGCTTTTCTTTCCACGTAACGCAAATGCGGGTTAGTTTCAGAAAGAATTCCTCCACGAAGGCTAGTTTGTCCCAATGATTGATCCAGGAATTATTTTGTCTTTTGGGTAAGTCAAAATTGCAAAGTTACGGAGTTGAACATTGACAGTAGAAAACTCAGACTTGGGGCAGCTATTCAATGCCGGTTATAAAATAAAATAAAATTATAACATGCAACAACCTCTTAAAGACAGAGTCTAATTTTCTTCTAATTTGAAATAAACAAACAGTAAACTAAAATTTCTTAAAGTTATTAAGAATAATTTAAAAATTTTTTACTTTTTTAAAGGTAAAAAAATGTTAAAATTTCTTTTTTAAAATAACTCTTATGAACAACCAATTCTACTGTAAATTTTAAAGGTGTTTAATTTTTAAGTAGTTTTTTTTTTCTTTTTTTTTAATTAGAATATTTTAGTAAAACTAACGAATATATTTGATTTAAAATATAATGAAGGAAGAATTATATAAATCTTTAAATCTATAATTTTGTCTGCATGCATAGTTTTGTTTGCATGTCCTTAAAAAAAGCATACAAAACTAAAACTTCAGTTAATTGAAATACAAACTAAATTTTAGGACAATTATAGAATATTTTTTTATAAATTTTTGTACAGAATTGATGCCGCTAATGAAATGTAGCACAACATTCCATGCAAAAGTAAAAAGAAATTGAACTAAGAAAATAACTAAAGTATAAAAAATAAATTGAAATTTGTACACTGCGCAAAATAATAAATGGTCCACTCTGAATAACTTTTGATCTAAAGATCGAAATTCACATTCTAGGATTCAATCTTAATGGTTTGTCGGGGTGACCTCAAAGATGCTAATTAGTTCATACGATATTACCATTACCATATTCGTACGATTAGATAGAAGTTACGTAACCTGACATAAAAACATACGTTCTCTAAATAAACATGTTTTTTTTTTTTTGACGGATTCGGATTTTTAAATTCCGAAAATACAAAAAATTCCGAAATAATAGAGGCAATCTGGGAAAAATGGTCCCAATAGTTTGGTCAGGAGAGCGATCCAAAATTTGGACCCCTAATGTTAACTTTACTTCTTGCGTATTTCATCATATCTCGAACTTTTTAATCGTATCGAACTTTTTAATGTTAACTTCACTTTTTGCGTACTTCATCATATCTCGAACTTTTTAATCGTATTGAAACATTTTTGTACAATATTATAAATATATATACATTATTTTGTGCAATATATTCCTTCATCCAAAGATAATTCCATGCAAAATATATCTCTTAGTAAATATTTATAATTTTTTGGCTATTTTTTAAATAGTAGAAAAAATTTCGACTTGTAAGGTACACAAATTTCTACATCATTTTAGTGAATGCAATTTTAAATGCCAAAGTACTAAATTTGAGCGAAATCGGTCGAATAGTTCCAGAGAAATGGAATTTTAAAAATACACCTTTTTAAAATTTGCTTGGTTAGTAACAGTCAATACTCAAAACTAACTAAATTATTAATTAGTCGATAACTGGTTAAACTCTAATATCTAAAGCCTTATAAATTTATTTTGAAATATTTGATATTTTTAGAGAGTACAAACAATAAAATAACGTCAATATTTTCATTAGATACTTTTGCTAAATTAAATTATTTTGAAATATCACTTTAAAAAAAAAATACAAACATTATATTAAAGATGATATTTTCATTGGATGCTTTTGTTAAATTAAAAGAGATAATTAAATTCACATCTACAAATGCCCAACGTTCTGTATTTTACAACATGGCAATAATTTCACTTAAAGTAAACAACAAAAATAATTATAATCACATGCAAATATTAGACGTATGCATAAAAGCAATAATATTTCCTACTTTGTTACCCAGACTAATTGTTACCAGAGAAATTTGTTTGAAAACAACTTAGAATAGATACTAAGAAGCAGAAACTGCCCGCTTCTTGATATCTACAAATGTATGCCGATAGATATCTAGAGTTCAAGTGTTAGCAGATAACATCGATTATCGGTGTTTACATCCTAAATCTTTATTGATGGTTACAATATTCTTCTCTAATAATGTAAAATTTTTCATTTTATCTATTATTTATGTGAATTCAGAGACAGAGACTACCATCGCATTATTATTTGGGAATTAACTCCTTCCTAAAAGGAGTTAGTTTTACACCGACCGACTGCGTGCACGGTTGTCAGGCAGAAATCCTTTGTTTATATCATATTTTCCTAATATATAATAAAAGTTGTTTTATTTTGGAAATTCTTCAATAAGTCCATATCGAGCCGTGAAGAGTCAGGGGATAGAGCGTTCGCCTTCCAATGAGGTGAACCGGGTTCGAATCCCACCAATAGCTGGTCGATACGAATCCGCATCCGGCTTGAACCGACCACAGTTCTGACATAAAATATCCTCTGTGGTAGACGGATTATAGGTTAGAGTCCCCTTGCGGTCAGGCTACCCATGAGAGGTTCTCTCCATGTAACGCAAATGCAGTTTAGTCCCAGGGCTAAAGAGAATAGAAGGGCTAGTTCACTCCGCTCTTAGAGCTGAAGCTACGATTTCCCTCCTCATGACGTCACTGTGTCCACAGATCTCGGAAGATCGCACGTAAAAATATTATGATAATTTTGCATCTTTCTCTTTGTAAAAATAAGTTAGACTTTTTCTGGTTATTAGCTTTCAAACTTTACGTAATTAACACATTATTTCCATTCATAAACATAGTTTAAAAAAACTTTCTTGGCCAGTATATTAAAAAAATACCATTTTAAACTTATAAAAATATTTTACAAGTTGGCGAAAATGACACTATAAATACTTTATTTTAAAAAGTTCAGTTTTAACTTTAACTATTAAGAAAAATGAAGGCATATATCGACACTTTTTTTATCTACATATTCTTTTATAACGATAAGTTAAGTTAAATTTAGAATCCCTGATTTTAAAATATGCCGTTAATAGCAATTTGTTCATACTTAATCATTAGGAAACATCAACCTTAAACGCTAATTACTGAAACAAAATAATAATTTAGGTTCATAATGACATTAGAAATTTTACAATTGTTTATAGATATTTAAATTTAAGATGATATAATTTATAGATATTTAAATTCAAGAGAATATAATTTTTAAAAGAATCATAAATATTTAGAATAACTACATTAAAAAAATAAGTTATGAAATTAGGAGAATTTTAACTGTACACAATATATTTTATTTATACTTTTTACTTACGTTTTAATTTTCTTTGACTTTAACCATTTTTTAATTTTTTTCACATGCCTTTATTTTTGAAGTAACGAGGCGGTTTCTATTTAGATAACGAATTTTTATAAAAGTTCTTAACGATAGAAAAAACGCATTGCTGTTTTATATTAACTGTGTCATTTCGAAATCCATTCTTTACATAGTTGTTCATTTACTTTAGGGAACACGCGGAAAATTATATTTTTTCCTTTTGTTTTTCTATCAGAATTTTTGCAAGTTGCAATCGCACAAACTGGCATTTTGTTAATAGTTTTGAAATTTTGTAAATTCACGGCAAAAACTGAGGAAAGTCATTATAGAAAATAAAAAATTTCTTAGAATATGTCACAAAAAGAAATGCTCCAATATTAGTTAGAGCTAGTAAGGCCGAACTCTCTGTTCTTGTTATATATATATATATATATATATAGTTTCAAAAACGTGTTGTTTTGCTGAATTATGTTTTACTAAACATCTTAGTAACGCCTTTCCTCTCCTAACCGTACTCAACTATCAAGGGGGAGGGGAGAGAAAATTTTGAATATCCTTTTTATTTAATTTTCACAAATAAACAAATGATGTATATTTATTCTATTTGGCAGTATCTCCCGATACATGCAAAATACAAGGCCGTCACCAAATCACAATTAGAGCTAAAAACGCGTGCGGTATTTTACATTTACTCTAACAAAATTATGCCAATACAATTACGCAATCAACAGTTTTTGCTTAGGTAATTAAAGAGTATACGGTTACCTGCTTTTGATAATTGTTTAAACTAAATTAAATCTAGATTTTTAAAAAAATATAAAAACTGAGAAACGTGTAGTTTTAAATTATTAACTCAAAATCACAAAACGCATAATTATATTTCTTTATAGTTTCGAGTGAAATTAGACAGAGGTTCACTATCAAGCGACCCCTTTATTTTCTAGTACCTTCTTTACAAGGTATTGTGTTGCCTAATACTATATAATTAAAAATTTATTCAGCACAGAAAAACACAAATTGAAAACATACCCCGAAATCGTAGATAGCGAGGGCAGAGGCCCTTTAATGTTACGACTATGTTTGTTTAAATTTTCTTTAAAGTCATTAAATTTTGTACTTTTTTTTCTTTGACTTCTCATAAAATGCACTAAATGTTTTGACTGACATAAAACGCACACAATCTAACTCGCCAAAAACTTATTCACATTGAACCTCATTAGCTATTTATAACTTATTGAGGATTTAGAAATTAGTTACTTTCCTGGCCTTGGCAAAAATTACATTATTTCTCGACTTATTTTCTTCTAAAACAGCAAGAATTACATTATGTCTCTACTTATTTTCTTCCGAAACAAATTCCCAAACAATTACAAGTTTCCCTAACCCAGAACGACGAGTATCAGTCCGATCATGTTATGTTGAAAGTTAAATGATTATAATAAGTTATATGTGATAGCAAATGAGAAAGCAACTAAATAGAATTAAAAACTTCTCTGGCTATCTATCCTAAATCTTCAGAAAAGAAGAAAACTTTAATCATTCTAAAACTCGGTAAATTTGAAAGGCACTACCAAAAATAAAGTATAATTTTTTTTTTAAAGTGTTTCTTTTTGCTTTCGGTCTGCAACAAAAATGATATTAAAACGATAAAAAATTTATGTTATCAACGTATCACTATTAAAAAGAGGGATTTAAAATATCAAAACCAGTTTCATTGTTAAGGTTAACTTGGTGTTTCTAACAAGCTTTTAGTATTTTTAATGTCTTCCTCAAAAAATCATTCCCCAAACTTTAATAAAATCGTATTTTTCTCACTTAAATATTAATTTCAGACATCTTGCATGATAATTATATAGCTTCATTTTTAACAGAGATCCTTGAAGTATATGTTAAGAAAATATATTATAGAACACCTTGTAAATTATCCCTACCAGTGGAAACATTTGAAAGATTAGTGTGGATTATCAAATCCATAAACAAATTCCACCCTGTTGTATTATTCTTGTGGTTATTTTTAAATGAAATGCAATTTTTAAATGATTTTTTTAATATGCTATGTCAAAATGAAATTAGCATTTTTTTTTTCTAAAAAAAGCTTTATATTATTTAAGCACCACAAGGTTTTGATTAGTTTCAACGAAGAAAGAACATTAACAAAAAATGATGTAAATACAGCAATGGCGCGATAAGTATGAGCCAAATGGTTACCAAAATCTAATCTATAATATAAACGTAATCTTAAAAGTAAGAACTAATTTTTTCTTAAATACAAGAACTATTTAGTTTCCTTAAAACTTCCATAAAAACTCAACACCTATTTTTCTACCTAACCGCCAAATCGGTCGATGCAATTTTGTAGAAATTTATCTAGTTTTTTGTATATAAATAACAGCTTCTGACCATGTTCTTTAGAAAGCATTGAACCTCATCTAAGATCTGAATTACCTTCTGGTCAAGTATTCTTTCAAATCAGAGAACATGGTAACTGTTTGTAGAGTTCAGACTGTAAAATTTGTGGGTGAGAAAGAAAAGGAAATGTTCATCTCAATAAAAAGCTAACAAGAACACTCATTTATTGAACAAATAACATTTTTATTTATTCATTTAACAACTATTATACACTGATGAAAACAAAAGAGAGGAAAAGTTTTTTTTTAAAAAAAGAAGAAAATAAACAAAATAAGTAATGGCTATACGCAAACAAGGCATCAGATAATAGCTAAACTTTTCAAGGACACCTCTGCCCTTTGAGGTCAAAGAGCAGTGACGCTGTGATTGTGTCTGTGTATAATACTTTATTTGCTAGCAGAATCTTGTAGTGTAAGGACGTTTGAAAAGGCTTAGCCTAATCTTTTTTTTTATTTCTTTGTTTACCCATTGTTACTATGGCCAGTGGTCATTGTCCAGATGATGCCACAAGATGGTGAATAGTTGGAAGACTTGAGACTGGCTAGTCATAAGCTATCTGTTGCAGAGACCACAGGGCTTCGAGAAATGGAACAGTTCACAGAGACAGAAACAGTGGCCTATTAACCTGGTCAAGACCGCAAAAGAGCAACGCCAGCTCTAGACTTCTGTCCAAAAGGTTTCGATCCACGACACAGACGCAGGCGTCTTACAACCTGTTTACAATGTAATGCAACCTGCTTGCAGTGTAAATACAACAGGAACATACATTTCATGGATACCAGCCGCCTAGAAACTTAATGCAGGTGCCCTGTAGTCAGCATTCCTTTGACTGTGAGCCCTCAAAAAAGACAAGGTGGTGTCGAGAGCACCTGTCTTGCACAGAGGATGGTGAGATGCAATTCAGTCTGAACAGCCACTCGAGACATGTTCTCATCTGGAGAGAACCTAGTCCCTAACATCTAGGAGTTGATATCAGCTGACATAGGCGAAAAAGACCCCTATAGTCAAGGTGGTCTGAGCAGGCATTGTGGCAGATGGGCATATCAACCTTCGTGTTCGATCAGATACCAGACAGGTCAGCAGTACAAGGACGGAATCCTTGCACCCTATGTGAGACTTTTCCGCAGAGCACATGTCATCTTAATGGACGATAACACCTGTCCAAGCAGGGCTCAGTTCGTGGACGAATACCTACAATCGGAGAACAGTCAAAGATTGAAGTGGCCTGCGATGTACCCTGACCTTAATCCCATCAAACACAAATGGGACGCCTTGCTCGTTGAATTGCAGCTCAAAGACCAGTTCCAATGACCATCGATTAGCTCAAGGGTACCTTGGTGCAAGATTGGTTGTGGTTGCCACTGGGATTGACAAGAGGCTAGGTAAACAGCACAAAATGTCAATGCTCGAGTTGTGTAACTATTAGGGGTGATCATACACTCTATTAGACAAGTTTTTCTCTGGCTAACAGAGTGTCTGTCAGTGACCATTTTCCTTATTTAGAGTACAGATTAGACCCATTTTTGTTTCCCCATATTTTGGCCAGGTATAGTTTGATTTTCTTTGTTAGTTTTTATAGCAAAAAAAAAAACATTATCCCATCAATTGTTTTCACTAATGTATGTTAACATTTCTCAGTAATAGATTTTTACAGCTTATTCTTTGGTCCATACAACAATTAGGAGATAAATATCATTATATTTATAAAATAAAACTAAAATTTATACGAGAAAAATTATGAGCTTCCTAAATAGAATAGACGCCACAAGTTACCACAATTTCTCTACTCTCCATTACCGTAATTTCGGTTAGTCTTGCTTTTTCTTCATAGTAGGTTCCAGCAAAAAGTTACAACTGTTACCAGGGGAAAAAACAAGATTCTGCAAAACCACAGTTATAGAGAGGTGGAAAGTGTAGAGAATTGGGATATAGCATAACATTGAGATGCCTATTTTATTTACAAAGAGTACAATCCAAACAAAACAAAAAAAGCAAATTAAGTGAAAATGCATCAGTATAAAACTGATTATATCTACAGGATTTCCAAAATGTCAAATATATCAAAATAATGCATAAATGATACCAAATATCCCCTCTATTCTTTTTCCTTAACAGTTGGGACGGAGACAACATCAAATGCTTAATAGAAAACATTTCTTTTTGTATATTTGGATAATACAGAAAAATCGTACCTCAATGTGACACACAGGATTTTTTTTCGTTCACAGATGGCACTGCAATCAAAAATGAAACTGGCATACAAATTGTTTAACATAGAGATATCTTGAGAAATATTGGGTTGAGTAAAAAGTCATTGTGTTTCTTAGTAACAGATAGAGGCAGTGAAGTTTCAGAAATACTTCAAGCAATTGCAATAGTAGTTGTTACATTATTGATATCTGATAGTTTAAACTTCATTGTAAAGATAAAAATTGAGATATTTCTATGATTTTTGGAGATACGACACTAAAGTGTTCATTTTTTTATATTCTTTAATTTTATTTCCGTTAAAAATAAAACGCACGCCACGCTTGTGAAAAATTGCACAAAGTTTATGGTGACGATGCTCTTCAAGAACATCAGTGTCAAAACGGGTTCAAGAAATTCTGCACATTTTGATTTTAAAGATGCTCCTCAATCAGAAAGACCTTGTTAGATTGATGATGACAAAGTAAAGACATTGATCCAGTCAAACCCATGTTACCCGACACAAGAGATAGAGTTCAGTCACAAAATTTATTGTGTGTCCACCTAAAGAAAAGCAAACAAAGCTCGATATTTGGGTTCCTTGTGAACTCAAAGAAGTTTATTTAATAGGACGAATCAGCATCAGTAATATGCTCATGAAACCAGAAGAAAACTATCCTTTTTTTTTTAAAGGAATGATAACTAATGGTGACAAGCTAATTTTTAAAAGAGATGATTCGCTACATCAAAAGCAGATCATGCTTTCATTGTTGTGGTATTAGAATATTATGTATTAGGTGTAGTATTAGAATAATTAATTCGGATGCGTACTGTAGGCAATTGAACAGTTTAAACGAACCTGTCATCCAGAAACATCCGGAGCTCCTCAATTGTAAAGCGTTCCATCACAACGCGAGATCACACACATATTTGGCGACTCACCAAAAGTCATTGAAACTAGGATGTATTGCCCTACCAAGCATACTCACCTGACCTTATGCCGTCAGGCTTACACTTATTTAACTTTTTTAAAAACTCCTTGGGTGGAATAACGCTAAATTGAAATGATACTGTAATTCAGCACATTGTTAAATTTCTCACAAACAGAGACAGGGCCTTCTATGAACGGAGAATTATGAAGCTCACTGAATGATGGCAATAGGTCATCGAACAAATGACAATATCTTTAACCTCTATTTAAATATATGACTCTAAAAAATGTAGTAAAAAAAAACGCAACGGCATCTCAGTGTCAATTTTAAACATTTTGTATCACATTTTCATTATGCAACTTCATCGCCATTTATGAACCAAAGGGCAAAAGAACCTGTAGGTCAAATTAGGATAATTTTTTCTGGAGAATACAAATCCTTGAAAAACAAAATGAGAGTTCCCTCTTAAAATTTTGAACTATTTGTACTTCATTTACATAGTACAATTTGTTTGCCATTTGTGAACTGAAATGCAAAAACCTGAAGGTCAAATTAGGATAATTTTTTCTTTCAAATCCAAATCTGACAAAAAAAATTTCCCTCCAAAAAATTTTTAAGTTGCCCTACCCCCCTTGTAGAATTCGGAATCATTGAATGCATCTCTTAAGCGTAATTTCAGTTTTAGATCCCATGCATACTTGAGATATTTGACTGTTTTCACACCATTTGAATACCCTGTACAAACAAAACATAAATAACTTTCATAAAAAATATTATTTCAATAAAAAAATTATGTGAAAATAACTAACAATATCAAAACAATTATAAAGTAATATAAAAAATACATTATTTAGAAAACTACTGAAATAAGTAAAAACTATAAGTTCTGTAAATAGAAGCTTTAACTTACAGAACTAATAGTTTTTAAATAAATTGCAGGATAACAAAAGCATAGAAATTTATCACGTAATATAACAACAAGCATAACAAAATATTTTGTTTCATTATTATAGTAAGTACAACAAACTTTTATTTGACAATAGAAAATTTCATAACAATGAGCAGGGTCATGGAGTTGAAGTTGAGAAGTTCTCAACTACTATTCTTTTATTTAGGTTGAGAAATTCTAAACTTTTATTATTTCCTGGTATTTTACAAATGTTGAGTCAACCAGTGCTAGATTTGATTGTTGATGCAAATCCATATCATTTTACAAAAATATTATTGAACAACAATCTTTTGATACAAATGATTATTCAACTATCATTTCATATACTCTAAATACTGTCAGAATGGAAGACAATCGTTTCATATAAATTCTTCAGAAAATAAACTTTATTTAATATTGTTAAATAAAGCAATTAGAAGATTAATATCTGATATAAAAGATTATTTATTATTAAAAACAAAATTTGGTGGAAATATTGAGAAATCTTTACACTAATAAATTACAGGGGGGGAAAAAAGCTTTAGAAGGCAAGGTTTAAAACTAGATTTTTTTTTCAGCTCAAATTATTAGTAATACTTAAACTAATAATAGAATAGGTATTTTCTATGATTATAATATGATTATATGATATAATATGATTATAATATAAAGCATAGAAATTTATCACATAATAAATATATTATAACAACAAGCATAACAAAATATTTTGTTTTATTAGGAAATACAACAGACTTTTATTTGACAATAGCAAACTTTATAATAATGAGCAGGGTCAGGGAGTTGAAGTTGAGAAGTTCTCAATAATTATTATTTTATTTAGGTTGAGAAATTCTACACTTTTATTATTTCCTGATATTTTACAAATGTTGAGTCAACCAAAAGCCAGATTTGATTGTTGATGCAAATTGTTATCATTTTATAAAAATTTTATTGAACAACGATCTTTTGATACCCAAATGATTATCCAACTACCATTTCATATACCCTAAATACTGTCAGAGTATATACATTTAATATTGTTAAATAAAGCAAAGAATTTAGAAGATTAATATCTGATACAAAAGATTATTTATTATTACAAACTTTGGTGGAAATATTGAGAAATATTTACTCTAATGAATTACAGAAAGGAAAAAAAAAGCTAAAGAAGGAAAGGTTTAAAAATTAGATCTTTTTTAAACAGCAAATTATCAGCATTTAACTAATAGTATAAATATTTTTATAATTAAATTGTTTTGCCTACAGATAATATTGATTTAAAAAATGCCCCTATTTTTCTTAATAAAATTTAAAAATTCAATAAAGTTTGGTCAACAAGATATTTAGAACATGTATATTTGTTCTGTTTTCACATAACTAAACATACTAAAATATACTATATATTCCATGAAATGTTTTTAAAAAGATATTTAAACATAAGTATTATTTAAAAATACAAATACTGAAATAAAGTTATGTATGCTGCTATTTTTAGGTTTAAGAATACTTATACCCACAATAAATTTACAAATGGTTAAAACATCTCTACAGATAGGATGCCAACAAACCTACCAAGAAAGAGGTTTTTTCGAAACCAGATTGAGCCCGTAAGAGAGGCTTATCACTAATTAGTTTGATGACCAGAGTTAAAAAAGATTTCCATGTAATTGGTGCTGGAAGATGGAGAACAACGATGACCAACAGGGCAAAATGGCCAAAACTTATTGAGGCAGCCTTGGCCAGTCCCAGGCTGTAGTGCCGAAGAAGAAGCAACATAAAATATAATTTTAAAAGGACCTGTACTCCAAATAGTTCTAATTTATGAGACATTATAAACATAGTAAGCAAATGTATTGCCATTACAAATATAAGAAAATGCATTTTTATCACTAATTCTTACTTTTTCTTTTAAATTAAAAACCACATATTTATTTATATACTTTAGTTGCTAGAAATAACTTTCAGTTAAGATTTAAGAGAATTTGTTAAGTCTTTCCCCTAACTATAATAGATATCCGAAACTATTTGATGGACTAAGATTATATTTAGATTCTGACTATGAAGGAAATCATTATGGCACATCATTATCAAAAAAACAAAAATTCTAATAAGTTTTTCGGTGTACAAATAAGTTCCCGCCGTTCATCACAAGATGGCACTACCAGATGGTTATATAGAAATTGACTAGTGTTAAACGTTCTATTGTAAGTTTGTTCATCTCGTAACAACATAACCTTAAAATATTAGTGTTTCCATAATAGCATTATATAATTGTTTTCGTGCAAAAATGAAAAGTTTTGAGCCAACTTTTGATTTACTTCTTTAATTTGAAGAAATCTGCAGCTGAGACCCATTGATTGCTTGGAGAAGCATATGGTGAGTTTTCTTTAAGTGAGAGAAGTTGCCTTGAGTGGTTTCAGAAATTTGAAAACGGCAAGTTTGAAGTGGAAGACAAAGAATTGGAAAAATTATTGGAAGAAGATTCATCCCAAACGTAAAAGAGCTTGCTCCTACATTACAAGTGACTCAGCAAGAAATTAAACATCGTTTAAAATCGTTGGGAATGATTCAAAAACAAGGAAGTTTGATTCCATACGAACTAAAGTCAAGAAACATTGTATGTCAATTTTGCTATTTGGGAAAACTTCAGTGGGAAGTCCTACCCCACCTGCCGTATTCACCAGACTTTGCCCCTTCAGATTATAACCCATGGCTCATGATCTGTCTGAGCAGAAATTTACATAATTTGAAGAAACCAAGAAATGGGTCAATCCGTGGATATCCTCAGAAGATTATTTCCTCCGACGTGGTATCCTAATGCTCCCCGAAAGATGAGGAAAGGTAGTGTCTAGTCACAAAGAATACTTTGAATAAAAATTAATGTACCGTTTTTACACAATAAACTGCTAATTTTTGATAGAAAACAGCGGAAACTCATCTGCACTCCCAATACAATACAAAATTATGAACGTTAAAATATAATTTTCCACTGATACAAGTCACACACCCCTTGACTTTTTCAATATTGTGGGTGTCTTTTTTTAAAAGCGTGGTTTAAACACAATGTGTTTGACATAAGCGTAACTGAAAATTATTTTCTAGTAATTGAAGAATGCAAAAAAAATTTTTTTTTAAATCTCATCCCAAAAATTAAAACCTCCGGAAATTTAAATGCAATAAGTATTTTCACCTATGTCATCAATACATAATCAATTTCACCTACGTCATATACTAAGGCACTTTACTAAGATACAAAAAATCATAACAGTAAAATGTCTGTAAATGCAAAATATTTTCTTTTCAAATACTAAAATATTTTTTATTTGTTAAATTTAAAATTAAGCAATATGTTTTTGCATCAAAAGTAATTATAAAATGCTACAAAGCTAAGCATAAAAATATATTGAGCAATTTCTATGACATAGATAATACAAAAGTCAAAAATTATTATCATAAAAAATGCTGTATTAGAAATTTTAAGATCTTATTTTTGAATAGTTGTAAATGGTTGAGTGACTGTTGCATGTATTTCATCATTTACTCGTATAGTGCCGGTTTTCAAGATGAAACAGGCACTACCCAAACAGGGTATTGATCCAGTTTTCTTTACCATTTCTGGATCTTTGGGAATCCTGTATCTGAAAAATAAATATTAATACATTCAAGTTATACATATTTTGCTATCCTTGTATGAGAAAAAGTAATTGAAATAAAAAGCAAATTTATTATTATCAAAAAAAAAATTTAAGTCACATTAATCGAAAAAAAAACCTATCTTAAAGATAAAAAAAAAAAAAAACAAGGAAAATACATCCACTTAAATTTATGCATATAACTAAATCAAATTTTTTGATACTTCTTTTCCTCAGAAATTGTTTTTCTAGAAAATTAAACATATTTAAAAAAAAAATGTGTATTAATAGAGGAAAACATAAGATATTAAAATACCATAGATATAAAGTCATGATTATTTTTTGCAAAATAAAAATACCTTCTTAATGATTAAGAAGCTTGCACCAAACAGAAAATATTTCTGGATTGAATTGTAAAGCTAAAGATATTGATAAACTCTTAAACTATACAGCATTTAATATACAGGGTGTTTTGTACTCACCACCATTAATATATATTTTTAAATTCTTTTTCAGAAATGAAGTTAAAATTACATACACAGATCACAAATTTAGATTTAAGGTAAGAAAAAAATAGCTATGTTAACAAAATCTGGTGCGCCATAGCTAATGAAGACAGGATTAAAAATACCAAAACTTGCTGGATAGAATAAGGAAATAGAAATGGTGTTTCTAATCATCACTTTCTCCTCATTTCACCTGACAACCAAACATGCTTTGGTGATTTGATTCTTTCCTTAATGATGATTCATTAGATTTGGGTATATTTTTTCTCTTGAAATATTTATTTGTAACCACTAATGTGTATAGAATTTCAACTCCAATTTTTAGAAAGATTCTGAAACATTAAAGGTGGTGATTATGGTGATAAAGAATATGCTTTGCTTTGTAATTTTAAAAAGCAAAAGTCTTTCAAGTATTTTGCATAAGAATATAAATGTAGGTATCACTCTTATCAAATATTTAAAAACTACTAATAAAAGACCTTAACAGGTCATTTTTACTGCAAAATAATTATGGAATGACATATTAATTAAAAACATAAATTTAGTGCTAATACTTGTAAAGGTTTTGTTTGAAATTCAACTTAGCTTAGGAAATAGTTTTACTTTTAACAAATGAATAACACTTTGTTATCTTAAATGTCTTAATATTATTATTTTTCACATTTTGAAATATTTTTTTTAATGTTTGATTCATGTATGCATGATTATACTGCTTAAAAAAAATTATAAATCAGCAAATACTTTTTTGAAACAAAAAAAGTTACATTTTAAAATGCGCAATTGATAAACACAATTAACATTTTTAAAAAGATGTATTTATACACTGGTGTTGACTTTCAGATGTTTTGATACAATTACTAATATTAATACTAATAATGTACCAAACAGTTATCAACCTTTTTTATGTTTTAACTAATTACAGATATTTTTAAAAAACTTAAGGTCAACTCAATCATAATTTAAGTAATGATAAGCTTCCATTTTGTTTCTAACAAATTACACTAAACTAAGCTTTACATTTCTTACAATTATAAACTTAGTTAATCAATTTGAATATTTCTACACCCAAAAACTGCTCATTCATTAGTTCTTTATAATAAACTAATTTATATTATAATTACTATTTATACTAATTTATTATAATTACTAAACTTGTATGCAAGTTATATGAAAAATTTCTTACTTTCTCAGAGTTACTAATGGTTCTTTACTAGTTAGTATCCCAGTTTCAGGATCAACTGTTGTCAAGAGGCAGCTGAAATTAAAATAAAAATACATACTAACTCAAAGGAAAACAAAATTGGCAAATAGAAAGTATAACTTAATTGCAAGATACAAAACAAATTATATTACAATCTCTCTTTGCAATTTAACAGATATTTTAAATATAATTATCAAATATTAGCATAATAACAGTAGTATTACAATTTTCAAACTATGATGCTGAAAAATAATTAAATGAGGATAGTTTCTACAAAACCATAAGAATAAGATGAGCTAAGTGGTAGCTTGAGCACTTAGTTTCAAATGTTGCAACAGAGTCACTATAAAGACTATAATCTTCACATTTGGCACATTTTAGTAGTAAAATAAGTATTATAGTAGTAAGTATTATAATAGTAAATATTTAGTAGTAAGTATTTTTTTAAGTAAAGTACATTTTAGTAGTGTAATAATCTAGACATTTATGTCTTCACAAAAGAAAAGTATTCTGAATTTTTTTAAAATTAAAATATGAAACTAATGTTACAATTAATAGGAAATAAACCCAATTAAAATTAAAATGATCGTTGATCCAAAAAGTAAGCTTTATCACCATTAAATCATGCTGACAGAGAATACATTAAAAAGTAAATTGACAAGAACAGAATGTTAAAATAAAACTCACTAGAACAGAATTATAAAATAAAAATTAATTAGATATATAAACACAATTACAAGACAGAAAAAACATACAGGGAAAAAAAGCTATATCATGCAACTATCTTCAGTTATCCTTAAATGTAATAAAATGCAGCAAAATAAAAAAGAGAATTAAAGAAACATATTATATGCGTCCATTTATTTAAAAAAAAAATCAAAATAGATATCTGGGATTAATCCAGTTAGTAATTGTGGCAAATTTGAAACCTCTCTTAATATATATGTCCCATTCACAATATTTTAATTTATAAAAATAGCCTTTCAAAAATTATAATTTATAAAAACGCTCCCTTCATTAAATTTCACTTTAGAAAAATAATATCACAAAATTGTTCTACAGAGAATTCTCGGAAAAAACGACCAGAAACGATGTGATCTTACCGCAGTATTGTCATGAATCAAAAGTCTTAAAACTCAAATTCAAAATAAGACCATACCTTGTGGAAAAATAATTATTATGGACTTTTCTCGATTGAAACGTGTCACAGACTGATAACTTTAATTCGAATGTCGTAATAACATCGCATAAAAAAAGCTAACATTCGAAAAACTCTAAAAAAATAATAACGGCTCCAAAAACTATCACCAATTATGACATTAAGATTGAATTGTCACTCAATATCCTTGTTATTAAAGGTGATTTTTAAATTGTGGTTTTAAGGTGATTTTATGAATTGTTTAAAAGGTGATTTTTCTCCCTGTGGAGTGGAAACCCTGATTGCACACTTGACGATCACTAAATAAAACTCCCTTATTTCTCCAGATTTTAACTCACCTAGATTTTTTAACCCTGATTTTTGGACAATTTTCGAATTCCCCATTTTTTCGAATTCCCCATTAGCGTAGCAACCCTGAAACAAGAATAACAAGATAGAGTGCCACCAGGCAAACGATCATAACTGATTTGAAAAAGCTTAATCGCCAGCTTGAAGTATGATGTATAAGAAAACTAGAGCATTAAAAACTTGCTCATACATCAAGCATGTGCATATATTTTATAAGAACACGTTCATTATATTTTATGTAGTGTCCCTATGAAATTGCGGCATTCATTTTTTTGACCTACTTTGTATTTTTAAACAAAAAGCATACTTTTCAAACAAATAGTACGAAAAGAATGCCACAGAGGATATTTATTTGATATATATTTACCGTGTAATAGGCAACACATTTACCATCTCTGCTTCCTTTCCTGTTCTCATGTGTTCCCAAGAATCCTAAAAATAATAAATAGGTAAAAATAAAAAAAAAATAATATAAAATTTGAAGAATTCAGTCTGAAGCTGTGGCATATCACATTTTTTAACCATTTAAATATCACAAAGCTAGAGTGAGGATGATAAATTTAACATTACTTCAACCTAAATCTCACCCATTTTCCTTTTAACCCTTTGACGGTCATTAAACGAGTTCAGCTTGCAATCAAGTGCTTCATAAAGCGCGCAAACAAGTTCCGCTCGGGAGCAAGATTTCAACCAAAATGGTTAGAAACGAGCACTACTTGCGTAGTGAAAATTTCCCCCAATGGTCGCTGACGAGCTGAGCTCGTTCGTCATTATTATTCTGCATTGATTATGTTACAAATGAATCCTACTCGCGAAATGTAGTTAGTTTTACTGTCTACAGATGGCAGTACGAGTTCCATGAATTTCTTTTCATAAGGAAGGGGGAATTTTTTCTTTACCTTGTTCTTTTTCTGCATATTTTGGCGCGTTTTTTAGAATGTTTGTAAAGTAAAATGGCTCAAAAAAAGTTAGATAATTATGATGATGATTGTTAAAGATTTTAAGGTAATAACTGTAATTTTTTTATAGCGTGTACAGAAAGATTTTTAGGTAATTACTGTATTTAAATCAGGGTTCCTACTCTTTTAACAAAGCAAAAATTAAGCACTTTTAAGGACCATATTTTGAAAAAATAAAGCACTGATTTTAAAAAAATTAAGGACTTTAAAGATAGTATGATTGTTTATCATCGAATATACATATGTCACCAGTGAGTGCAAATTATTTACCTTTCTAAAAATATCAATAAATAAAAAAATAATAAAAAAACTATTTTATTATAATTTAAGAACTGATATAATTGTATTAATTTATAGGGCTTGCCAAAGAAGTACTAGGTAATTTTTGCAAATTTGGGTCAGATTTTTTATAAAACATTTTCAGACTGTTAAAAGTTAACGCCTTTCAGATTGTAAAAGTTAACATATGAAACTAACCTGTATTCCATTTTTAATGATTTCATTGAAATTTAATTGTAAAATTAAGTGTTGAAATTAAGATTTGAAATTTCTTTCATGCATATTAAAAAAAAAGTAAATAACAAAATTTGGCAAGAACATTGAAATAATTATAACAACAAGTTTTTATATTTCGCTACTAGGCCAGCAAATGCGTCAGATTTACTTTTATGATGAACTTTAACAAAATTAATTCCAGCCAAACCAGTTATTAAGAATTAACTTTAATGTTACTAAATATTATGGCGAAAAACAGGAAGTAATTTTAAAGCAACCTAAAATTGAACAAAAATTAAAAACAGTATATTAAGTTTCAATGTTAACTGAATAAAATTATTATTAAAATCTAAGGATCATTCAGTTGAGTAGATTTATATTTTATGTAACCATTTGCTTATCTTTAAGGAATAAAAATAGCGTAACAATCTAAAATTAGTTACCAAATACTTAACTTTCTTGTTAGAAGCAAACCATGCTTTTTTTTATTTAGGAGGAAAAAAATTTAAAGTATTTTTTTAAAAAAAACTTGCGATTTTCATCAAAACCCCAATGAACTCCATGTTTTTGATGAAAAATCTAGGTGGGCTTGGATTTTTCAAACCCTGTTTCTTACAGATCTGTTTACTTATTAGTACAATCATGAATTTTAAAAAAATATTATGCTTTCTGTAAATTTATGTCTTTATTATTAAATTTTAGATTTTAGGAAAGAGTTTTAGTTATGGATTCTTGTTCAAAATTTTTAATCATACTTCTTTTCTTAAAGTTTTACTTAATCCTTACAAGCAGATGCGTTACCAGTAGAACTGAATTTCTTGAATTCGGTCAATTTTGAAGGTTAGTGTGAGTCTTTCACTTAGGTACCTTAAAACTGCTCCCCCCCCCCCAAAAGCACTATCTTTTCCATGTGAAGTATTACCGTTGTTCACACTATTCTTTTCATTTAGAACGCTTCACTCTCCTCATAGAGTATCATTATGGGCAAAAAGGTAGAATATATTAATGAAAGAACCAATATATTAATAACTGGACATACTTTCTTCCCCTTACCTATAGTTCCCCCCTACACACATTAATTTTTATATCTCTAAAATGTTTTACCTGAAATGCATGGTCTAATTCTTTGTCTAAATGTAATGCATGGTCTAATTCTAAGTGATAAAAGGACATTTTGTTTTAAAAAATTGAATTGAAAAATTTTTCCTATCAACTATAGTGATGCTAAAAAATTAAGGACTTTTAAAAACCTTGTACCAAAATTAAGTACTCTTAAGGGCCCTTATTTTCCAAAATAAAAATTAAGCAGTTTTTAAGGACATATAAGGACCGTGGGAACCCTGTAAATGCTTCATAAAATTTTACATTAGTTGTATTTATTTAGTTCTTTTAATTTAATATCTGTCTTATATTTATAATTAACTATTATTATTTATAAAATTGATTATAATCATTTATGATTTACAATTTAATAATTCTCATTTATTAATTATTTCAAAGTATGTAAAAACTGTTATTTATGTACTACAAATACTTTAAGAAATTTTTAAAACGCGTGAAGCGAGCTATCTACAGCATCGTCAGAGAAGGGTGACATTTTCAGAAAAACGGAGGGGGGAAACAGCTGCCTCTTTTGACTACTGTTTACTCGTAATACTGCGCAAATTAAGTAAACGAAAACTGACCATTTCCCTAACTGTCAAAGGGTTAATTAACCACTTATTTAAATTTTAATACTTATTCAGTTATTTGACACCGGTGAATGCTATAACTGAAGAATATGCTAATTAATTAAGAAAACACATTAAAAAAAAGAGAGAATGACTATCTTATTTTAAGTGTAATCATGTGCTGGCATTACAACCCCCCCCCCCAAAAAAAAAGTTAACTAAAATTGATTCCAAAGAATATCATTTTTATCTTTTTTATTATAAAACTAGAAAGAGTATGGAAGATAGCACAAAAGCTTGTGTGTGCAGTTTTGGAATTATTTTTCATAATTTGATTAAATTATAATCACATGTATTCATAATAAATATATTATCTCTACACAATCGTACCCCTTCTTATTTATAGAAAAAACTTAAGAACTTTCTAGAGTACTAGAAATTCTTATAACCGACATTTCTTTTTGTTTATTTTCACAAATATTCTAGAAGGATTCAAAGCAAAAAATCGAAAGATATCAAGATGGGAAGATTAGCTTATAACTTGCAAGGAGATAAACTTAACAGTTCAAAATGGTTGTTAACTTTAAAAAAAAAAAGGAATTGAAAGTGTTTAATAGAATAACGGGTAAAATAAAAAAAGTAGAGAAAGAAAATGTGCAATGAACAGCATCACAATGTGTTCATAAAAAACCATATCTAATTTTAGGTATGCGTTAGTTCATGTGTATATTGCTAAGACACCCATAAGAACCAGATATCGACTTTTCTATCGTAAAAAAAAAAATAACAGATGCAAACAGACAAAATAATTCCTCCTCATTATATCAGCAGTTGACAGTTCAAGCATAAAATATATTCAAAAGCAAAATCTAACACAAAAGACACATAATTGCTTTTTGGGTGCTATAAAATCATACAAAATCACATGAATTAGATTTTTAAACTATTGATTTTCAATATATTAATTTAGGATCAAGGAGGAAGAGCGGTTTATGTTCCTAAAAACTGATTCTAAGAAGAAAAAAATTCAAAGCGAGCATAAATAAATTTCCCCCAATACGACCCATCTTCACTGTGTAATAAGTCTCAGAAAGAACCATTTTTTCATGTTAATGATTTGTCAAAACTTGTAATCTTCATACTGCAACAGATAGCTATCTAATAGTTTTTGGGGGAAATGAATATAAACCCCTTATACCATATTAAAACACAATTGCTTTTAAAAATAATAAAATAAAAATAATTCTCTGCAACTTAGCATTTCATTGAATTATGTCAATATTCAAATTTCATAGATGATTTTAATTGACAATATTGTAAGAGTATCATTTCAGATTAAAATGAATTATCATGTCTCTTTTGTAGTTTTAAGAAACCGAATTAGACCCATGAAGTAAATTGATTTTTCAAACTATAAGGGATACTATATATACCTCAGCATAGGGAGCACAGCCATCTACCAAAACACTTGGGCGAAAATTCCATACTGATATTTTCTTTTCTCCAATTCTTAAATTTAAATCATCAATAGAAGCTTGTGACATAACATGAAACGCAGATAGATCTTGAAGGGAAATCTGAAAATATCTTACAACTTTAAAAATAATAATCTAAATTAATGAAGAAATTTATCCACTGCTGTAACTAAAAAATGGCTGGTAAAAAAAGATGTAAAATTAGTGGCTTGATATAGGATTTTCTTTAGTTTTTACTACCGTCATTCGGGGCTACTTTGTGCAGCGGGGGCTACTTTGTGCAAATTCGAATTTGGCATTTTTCAAGTGCTGCTATTCAGTATTATGTTTATTTCACGTTAAAAATGTGTGGAATTTGAAGATGAAAATCTCTTCTATTACTACAAACATTTTTTCGAATTTTAAGACAATCTCAGACTGTGTTTCGTTCATCCAATGTCAACAACTTTCCGAGGACGTCGGATGTCGAAAAGTGTGCGTGGAAACTTTAGCTGTGAAATGCAAAGACGTTGATAAAACAATTGTCGTAAGTGCAAAATTTTTTATTTACATATCAATAAACAATTATATCATGTTAGCGTTAAAAAAATTTGAAAATTAATAACAAATAAACCGAAAATGAAAAAAATTCACTTTGGGGCTACTTTGGGCAAAGTTTCATTCGTTTTTTTTTCGCCAGAAAAATGGTCAGACGTTATAAAAAAATACCTGGAACGAGAAACTACCATGATTACACTTTAGAAAAGCTTCAACAATGTTTGCAAGCAGTTGTTGGTGGTATGTCGATTGCTGAAGCTTCTCGGAAGTACAAAATCCACAGAAATACTGTCTCTAATAAAATTCACAAGAAACACGTGAAACTTCCTTGTAAACTATTATTTTTCTTCTACAAAGATTTTTCTAATGAATTAATCAAACGATTTAACTCATAAAAATATATTTTATAGGACATCAGGTGATTTTGACAGAAACTGAAGAGCAAGTTCTGTCATGTTCATTCAAGCATGTTATGTTCAAATTTATCAATATTATAAATGTTAATGAATATGTAATAATTATTATTTTTGAAATATCATTCATTTCAATGTTGTTAAAAAAAAGTATATGGTTTCCTTTTGTTTAAATTCAAATGTTTTGAAATAAGTATTATTTTTAAGAAAAAATTCTTCAAAAAAATGTTTTTTTAACGCTGAAATTTATTTTCAAACTAATATCTTTACATATCTTGATGTTTTTGTCTTTAAAAATGTCAACAATTAACTTTTTTAACAATTTTATATCAATATCTTACTAAAAACATGATTATTAAACTGAATTCCTATCGCTGCACAAAGTAGTCCCATTTGGGGGCTACTTTGTGCAAGGTATGTTTTGACTTATTTATTCGTAAATATTACATACAAATAATGCCAATATTGATCAAATTCACTCGTCTGAGTTCAGTTATGAATATAATATCGATAAATTTTACTAAAGTTTGAATTAACATAGTTTTTTTACATGTCAAAGTTCAAAAACTGCGAAATCCTGCACAAAGTAGCCCCGAATGACGGTAGCTTTTTTTTCACATAATACCAGTTTCAACCAGGTTGAATGAAATAATAATTATGAATAATAAATTGTAGTGACAAGAAGTAAGTTGGATATTAAATTATTCCATAAATAAACAACTTGTAAAAACAAAACAATTAATATCAGCTTGCTGATAATAATTTTTATTATTTACATTGATATTAACTTCTGTTGACCTCCTATATATAATATAATTAACTCAAAAAGTGTTGGTAAGAAAAAAAGATGTAAAATTAATGGCTTGATATGGGATTTTTTTACTAGCTTTATTTTCACATAATTCCAGTTTTAACCAGGTTAAGTGAAATAATAATTAACAATTGGAATATATTGTTTCCCAAAATGGGATGACAAGTTTACATTCAAACTTTGTTCCATTAAGAGTTCAATAGTTACTTCATATTAAAAATTATAATTATGCTGTATGGAAGCAGGCAAGAAAAGTTTTAGAACGAAATATTATCACATCCATAGGGCAAGGAAAACAGTGGGAAAAACTGACTTAAAGTGTGAAAGTAAGTAAAGTGAAAAGCTCTAAAATAAGAAATTGGAAAATGCAGGCACAATACAGGCAGCTTTGGAATTGAATTATCAGGAAAGCCATGGTCTAACATAAATTATAGTGCCAAGAAGTAAGTTGGATATTAAATTATTCCATAAATTAACAACTTGTAAAAACAAAAAATTAATATCAGCTTGCTGATAATATTTTTTATTATATTATGTTGATATAAACTTGCATTTTTGCACTTGCATTAATTTTATTATATTGATATTAATTTCTGTTAATCTCCTATATGTAATATAATTAACTAAAAAAATTTTGGTAAGAAAAAAATATGTAAAATTAGTAGCTTGTTATGAAATTTCTTTTACTAGCCATATTATTTTCACATAATACTAGTTTTAACCAGGTTGAATGAAATAATAAACAATTGGAATAATTTCCCATAATGGGATGACTTGTTTCCTATTTGTGAACAATAACAATATAACATTCAAATTTCATTCAGTTGATGGTTCAATAGCTACTTCATAAAATAGTACATGCATAAAAAAATTATAATTATTTACATGGAAATAGGCAAGAAAATAATATCACATCCATAGGGCAAGGAAAACAGTGGGGAAAACTGGCTTAAAGTGGGAAAGTAAGTAAAGCTCTAAATTAAGAAATAAGAAAATGTAGGCGGCATTGTAATTAAATTGCCAGGAAGGCAATGATTCAATATGAATTATAGTGCCGAGAAGAAAGTTCCATATGAAATTATTCCATAAATGAACAACTGGTGGAAAAAATTAATATCAGCTTGTTGTGTACTTTATTGAGATACAAAGGAATACAAAGCAAATCCTACTCTCCTGACTTAAGAGATTAAAATGCTTTGCTTACACAATTAGATTCATAAACTGCAGCTATTTACAAATCAGTGGCTTGTGGCATTTCAATTCAATCAACTTAAAAGTTAATTTCCACAAATAAAAGTTCTTTTATTTCAAAGCAAAAACACTAGACATTTAGGTAAATTTTACTTTCATACAAGTTATATATTGCTAAAAGAAAAAAAGAACCCTGATTATCAAACACACATAGGATGATGTCAGATAATCGACAATATTTCATTATTTATATTTTCATTGTGTATCAACATCATTAAAAATGCTGAAAATTTTACGTAAAATATCATTATCAAGATAACAATAGATAACAATTTATACACTGTACATGCGTCATAATTAATTTTCATTAATCATTTTTTAACTAACAATTATAATTAAATATCCTACTAATGAAAAATATCACACCTTTATAGCAATTAATTTTAAAAAAACTTACTTCTTACAAGAATTGCAAAATCCTATTTTGAAAATTACATGAATCAAGATATTGGACTACAAATTATGATAATGAATTTTTAAATTGCTTAAATACGAACCATTATGCATAATTTAAAGATCTTAATAAAAAAATCTACTCACTGGATTCTTGCGCCTCAGATTCAAGTAAAAAGGGTGATTCTGGACATAATTTCGTTTTGGATTTTCTGGAAAGAAACGAACTAAGCGTATATTAGGCCTTTTTAGATATTGTTGAAACCACTTTGCAACTTTGTCTCCACAATCAATCACATGAACAACATCTGAATGCAATCTAAAAAATGTTTTATTTTATTTCAAATAAACATATTTAAAATTGAATAAAATAATTTTAAAGTGAAAAGCTGGTGTAAGAAGACATTATTAACAAATCTAAAGATTATTAGAATTCTTAACACGATAAAATTTCTTACATCGCCCAGTCTTAATGTGATATATCGTCTATTAGATATCGGGATATACCATATGTTCGAAAATTATCAATCAGAAATCGTTAAATCAATCAAAAATAAATAAAAGGAAAAAATTTATAAGAAAAGAAAATGTTATTTCAATAAAAATGTTTCTAATAATATAAATAGCATTGCTTAATTTTTTCAATTAAAATAATAAATATGGAGATGTTTACATAAGACCGATGTCTTAAAGTAAAAACAAACAAATTCTTTATTTTCATTTTGTTTAAAAAATTGAAAATGACTAAGTTTTATTAGTTTAAAAATAATAATAAAACTGTAAGAAAATATTTTACTTGCATGTATTAAAAATAAAAAACAAACCAAATGAATGTTTACTTAAGTAAAATTTTTTTTAAATTATTGGTTGAAAAAGACGTGCTTTAAATCACCGTTACATCTTCTTTTATTTATATAATTAAAATAATAAAGTTAGATTGACTAATGGTCAAATTTTATACTTAATAAATGTAAAAATGTCAGTTTTGTTTTATTTATTCATTATTATTTTCTTTTTTTGGAAATAAAATTGACCTAAGATTTATTGATTTAGAAATAATAAAGACTGCCTAACAAATCATTAAATGAACACGTACCGAAAGAGTTTAGAGAAGAAAAAAAATTTAACTTTTAATAGCACTATTGTTAAATTATTACGAAAGCGTCAAAGCATTGCTTAACTTTTTATTTAATTAAAAAAATTTAGTCCTTTTAGTTCATAGCCGAATTTTTTAAATAAATAACACAAACTTTATTTTAATTTTCTCAAAAATAAAAACAGATTAAATAAATGCAGGCTTTGTTTCAATTTTTCTTTATTAAAAACGAATGAAGATTTATTGGTTTAAAAATAATAAAATTTTTATACTTATGTGCATTAAATGAATTTTTTTTTTACAAAAACTAACTTTTTATAACAAAGTGTAAATTACTAGACAAAATAAAGAGCAAGAATTTGCAATTTATAATTAACTATTTGTAATTTTTATAGTTTTATTTTATAACCATCAAACAAAAGCAAGAACGTAATGGCTTTCGCAGCACGTGTGATTTCAATTCGTGAATAAATTCCCCTTTCCATGTAATTCCCCTTTACAGACAAAAACAAAAAAAAAGCATTTTTTGCTTTAAAATAACTAAATAAATAGCACTCTTAGAATAGGAATAAAATGCTTTCAGGGAGTTCAGAAAGATTCTGAATGCATCAAGATTTTTTAAAAAAAATCGACTGTAATTGTCCATTCGAAATGCATTCCACAGTCATCAAACCTACAAAAATGTAGAAACTGTTAATTGTTCTTCCTGCTCATTTTTGGACTGCCATAATTATATGGATTCTAAATAAAGCCATGTGTAACACACACAAAATTTGGAACATTTTGTTTCCATAACAACTTCAATACATATAAGTTTACACTAAATATGTTTATTTACAGTAATGGGCTTATCTCATGATGGGCAGACAGTAACTCTGATCAAACTGTATAAAAGTAGTGCAATTATATTTAGATCAAAACATAGAATAAAAAAAATTTAAAAAATAAAAGGGTAATAGAATATAGAATTAAGGAAACATTAATGAAACTTCAAAGATACAACAAAAATACAATTAGAAAGAACAGAACTAAACCAGACCCTTGATAGTCCTATCTGGAACTCTAATAAGTTATTAAGTACCTTAATGCTTGCAAATCTTTATGTATCATAGTAACTTACTGGCATTCAATAATTTTGTCCCCAGGTTTAGGTGAAGATTCTATATCAACAGTAAGAGGATCAACATCAGGACCAGATATTATAAGCTTTGAGTCAATAATCTGTGGAGCAAGAAGAGCAAGCTTTGGGGCTTGACGTTGTGATAAAAGAACATTATTTTCATCGATCAGCATAAATGAGCTAAAATGAAACATTATAAATATATTGAAATATATGTTAAAAGAGATTTCTTTTCTTCACAACAGAACTTGACTGATGGTAGGACATGCAAATAAGTAGAAATATTAAACATGCTCCTAAACTGACATTATTTTAGACAGCTAAACATGCATTTTATCTGTTACTTAATACTGCTAAAAAAACTAAGTTTCTTACTACTCATTTAATAAGACAGTTGTGCATTGAGGTAGAATTTTTATACAAAATTGCCCAAAAGTGAAAAGATTAATCCTTTAATCATTTTAATTATTTTTTTAGGAATGAACCAGTGATAACCATCTAAATATCTTATGAAACAAAAAATGCAAGGTTTCAATCAGAATATGGAACTAGAGAATTAATTGGTACATAAAAAGCATGATTTTAATAATTTAAAAAAGAATAATTTAATGATATCAAATTCAACCTTCCTTTAGGAAATGGCAAAATGCCAACTTTTAAATCTTTAATTGGAATTCCTGTTTTTATTGCAGATTTGGATCCTCCTGAAAAGAGTATCCCTACTTTATACATTTAGGTTCACAGATGACATCATAATTGCAAAATGTAAATTGGGTTTAAATTATTTAATGGTGATATCATATACCATCTGGGCAACTAGAATTATGGGGGTACAAGGTCAAGTTTGGATTTTTAAAATATTAAACTGTTCATTTTTATTTTTTCAATCTGAAACGTATTCCGTATAATTTACTGAAAGCTGGCTCACCTTTCCGACGTGCATATAGAAAAAAAAATCTCTCACCCTATATATACAAAGAGTATAAGAGTGAAAACTCATATATATGTGTGTGTGTTTATACATGATAAACACATACAAATAACGAGTATGGACACATGAAAGGCTAATGGTCTGCGATTTGTTAGTAAATTAATTGCATAGTTAATTTAATTTACCAGGAAACTATAACATACAAGTGATTTTTAAACAAAAATTAATTTATCTCACCAAATGAACAATTGCACTAAATTCTGGAAATTAAATCAAAATATTTTTATTTGCTATTGTTATGATTCGATGTTCAAATTTTTTTTTTCACAGGAAACAGTAAATTTGGAAGGAAAAAAACCTTAAAAAGCATATGGAACAGGTTTAAAACAAATTACATTTTTAAATAAGTCAAAGCTCAATTTTCTGCCATTTTTTCTGACGCCACAAGGCGGCTGCCTAAGATGGCCTAATGGTAGGTCTAACCTGTATTTACTTTGAACAAATAAAAGCTAATTATGAAAGGAAAAAATGACTTGAAGAAATATAGAACTAAAAGATTTTCTTTTCTAATATATATGTGTTTAATGATATTTTTGATTTCTATAAATAATGACTACTTTTGGGGAAAGTGGATATAAATTCAAGCTTTTTTAAAAGAAGCTTCTAAAACCATACCATTAAATTTATTTTACTGAAAATTTTGATGTATTTTAAACACATTGGATTCATATAGATTAAATATGAAGTATAACTTATAAATTTTGTTTGATTGTTTTCTTACATTAATGCATTCTAAAGACAATGTTTTGATAAACCCACTTTATCACACTGTGGGGTAAAGTGGATATAGTTTTAAAATGAGTACATATTTCATTAAAAAACCTATGTAAATATTGTTTTAGAATTTTTTCTGGTAAATATTGTTTTAGAATTTTTTCCTGTAAATATTGTATTAGAATTTTTCTTATAAATATTGTTTTTTTTCATATTATTAAAGCGTTAATGTTCATGTCCATCAAAAATAGGTATTACTTTGAATGCAGAAAACTTGCAAAACTCTACACAATTTCATAAAAAATGCAAGAAAAGTGTAATAGGTTTTGGTTTATTTGAAATATAAATGAAAGAGTAAATGTTAATATCTATAATGAAAATTTAAGGGTTGTGGTAGCGTGGTAGACGTGGGCGACGCTGCTCCACCGCCGTGGCTTCGCCACAGGTGCCCACTGCGTAACGAAAAGAGAGTTAGCAGTTCTGGCACTTTCTGTGGCCGATGGACAATAGTTCCAAGTGCCCCCCATTAAAAAAAAAATAATAAATAAAAAATTTTAAAAAAATGAACATTTAAAGTGTTTTTACTATTTATAGCAAAAACGTATTTTTATTTAATTTAGTTAGTTTAAGGAAATTGTTTTGGTTTCCACGAAAAAACTGCCATATTTAGACAAAAACTTGTGTCATCTCTATCTCTAAATATGCTCACTAAGTTGTACCATTATGCCATTTTGGCAATTTTCTTAGTTGTATAATGTGTCGATTATACTACTATTTCCGAGATCATTCTTCTCTTTAAAATATAAAATTTAAAAGAAATTTTGCTTTCAGAATTAAAATTACTGTGTGGGTATTATTATGTGGTACTAACATGTAAATTATTTAAAAGTTATTTTTTAAATATAGAATATTAGATACTAACTAAAGCTAACACAGAAGTAAAAAAAAAAAAAATCCCTATCTTAGAACACTTAGCTAAGCTTATTCATATACACACTTTACACCACCACAGAAAACAATTCATAATAAATAAAATTTTGAAATTTATACTTTAATTTCTATGTAGATCTATTCTTTAGATGTCCCTCTACCAGTCTGAACTAAAGTTAATAATTTCAGATAGTTTTTAATAATATTAGAAGAAAGTTCATCAACAGCTTAAACTAACATTTGTTATCTAAGCAAATACACACTAGTAACAAATACTCTAAACAAATACACACTAACCACACCTGATCCTATAAAAAAATATATATACCGTTCTAAAAGACCGTTAACTTCTAGACCAAATTTTGTACATTTTCCTTCTGTCACTTCATAGCCTTTGATAGACTTGACGGGGAAAAAGAACATTTTACTGACATATCCCACTTTCTCATACACTCGTCTTTTCTTCTTCCACACCAAAGTTCCTATAACAGCAACAGCTAAAACAGGCAAAATTATCCAACCATTCCATAACTGAGGCATTTTGAAAGAAGCTTCTAAAATAAAATAAAAATTAAACATTATTTCAATACAGGGTTTTAATAATAAATAATTCTAAATTATTAATAATTCAAAAAATATTATTATTAGTTTCAGTATACATGATTTGAACACAATTGCAAAGCGAAAACAGGGTGCACAGCCAAACCTTTCAATAAAAAATAAGCACCTTTTAAGCACTGAAGAAATATTTCTAAGCACTATATACATCAACAAAATGCAAAATAATTTTCAAAGACTTTACATGATCATGATAAAATAACCAGTTTCTGACAAAAAACACTTTTCTTGATTATATTAGCCATAATAATTGATCGAGATTTTTCGGTTCGATATTCGAAGGTGGAAAATGAAGCCTGAAATTAAGAATATCTTGCAAAATGCAATAGAGTTGCACATGAGAGTGCAATAATCTCATTGAACTCAGCTCAGTGGACGCACATGCGGACTCGCAAGTATTTCATCCACCATGTAAAATCATTGGCCCTTTCATACACTATGGACCGATGGTACACCGAAATAGATGGTGGTTGAATGAATTATGAAAATGTTGAATAGAGCTAGGTAAAAAGCACACTTTTGCATAATACGTGGTGAAAATCGATGTAAGAAAAAAATCACATTTTTGAAAAGGGAAAATTAAGTATTTTTTAAAAACACCCAATAAAAAAAGTATCTTTAAGGGCTTTTGAGAACCAAGTTCGAAAATAAGCACCTTTAAGCACTTTACAAAAGTACTACGCACCCTGGAAAACTTTGATAGATATTTCTAAACAGATTACAACAGGTTTCATGCATTTTGATTTTAAATCTAAAAAGCTATAAAAACATGTTGGCCATAAGCATACTTAAATAAAATGAAAAACCTCCTGCAAACACAAAATCACAATTAAAAAAAAACTTTCTGCAAGCAATTTATTGACTCTTGTAACTAGCATCAACCCTTTCTCTGCCAACTAATTTTAACAAAACTTGTTGAAAAATCACTATTTTGTTTAAAGTGTTATAATTTTTATAAAACTCTATATTGATTACCATATAGAGGAAATTCCATGATACGAAGGACAAACGAAAAAAATAGTCACAAGAACTTTTCTCTACTTGCCACTTAGTGCACATAATTATTTCTGAATTGTGAATATTATATCTTTCAAAAATTCCGCGAAAATTGAAAAGATATTGTCTGCAATACCTTTTCAATTTTATGCTGCAGTGCCATAAATTGCACTGCAATTTAATAAATATTATCACACAAAGTTCAGCTCAAGTTGGAAATGCATGTGTCGTAATAACATATTAAATAAATCAGAATTTGAAAAACTGCAGGCAAATGAAGGAAAAAATTATTCATTATTGGCGAGTACATACTATTTTCGTCTTACTTGTATGAAAGATATGAGTTAAGCTAAACGAAAGGAACAAGCAAATTGTTACCAATGGGCTTTTCGTAAAAAAGGCAAAATTGCTCATCGTTATAAACAATCTTTGAGGATCGGTACTTAGTTTTTGAGGAGAGTGAAATAAATAGAATTGAGATTTTAATAATTACATACTTGTTTGAGGGTAAATTAAACTGGTACAAATCTTCTTAGGAATGAGATGAATGTAAGGTCAAGAAATATTTTTGTTTCTTGACGTAATTTGTCTATAAAAATGTGTATTGATGTCTGTGTGAAAAAGAGTGAAATGATTGGAGGTCAGGTCTTGATAGGGTTAAAGAAATTGAGGAAAGCAAATTCAGTTAAAGAAAATATAGTCTTGGTAGACGAGTATTTGGTGGTATTAAAAGAATTAGCAATGTTTCATTTTGTTTTTCTAGGTTATAGAGGATCGTATGAAGGAAACTTTACTTGATGCTACTACCTGTTATAGCTTAGAACAATTATGTCTGATTGCGGGAAATCTATTATCCAAAAAATGAAGATTTCTGTACTAATATTTCCATCATTTCTTGAATTTTGAAGATCCTGAAACTTGTGAAAATACAAATAAAACTGAGGGTATCTAGCTCCAAATAAATAGGGAATTTCGAAAACAAAATGTTCACTAGTCCTCTGCAGAAATCTTCAATTCTTATTTTGAAGAATTTATGTGAAGATGCCGGTAGTACCGAGATCAGGCGGAAGCTGATCCGCTCCAGGACTGAATGTAATGTATAAATGATTTGTTCACGAAACACTCATCAAATTATGCCAAAAAGAAACTTCAATAATATTCACAGATGAGAGCTGTTTATGTTGTTTCGAAAAGCTTTGCGTTTATGATATGAAAATAAATTACAATTGCCTAAATTGTTTTATGTAGATGTTTAATCATCCATATTACCTAAATGTTTGGGATATATTTCCGCAACGTGATCTGTAAGGTCAACAATCAAAAGGTGCTAAATAGATTTTAAACTTGATAATTCTTTTTAAAACAAAAACTCCGGGGGAGGTGCTGCAAGTTATGCTTTTTGAGTGTGTCCCTTACAGAGATGTTTTTTTTTTCTTTTTAGTTTATCACGGGCCACTGCCCGGAAATTGACAAGACTTGGCGATTATTCTGCCACAGATTACGATACGAAAATCTCCCCAATAAATAATGATTGTTAATATAAAATATTTTAATGCGTTTCAGTAGTTTTAAAAAGATATGCAAAAAGACCAAATATCTATTAAGTTTTGGTGCCAATCTAAGCGTCCAAAAATCACCAAAAATGAATGGGGCTCCTATTGTAAACTATTGCTCTTAGTTTTTACTTTTTTTTACGTCAGAGCGAAATGGTAGATATCTAAAACTTAACAATGATAGAACTAAATGAAGATTTTACAGTTAAAGCTTAAAATACAGTGTCCAATACAAGACAAGCACCAAAATTTACACTCTAACCAAAAATACTTTCTTTAAAGAATAACTTTTTAATTAAACTCTTAGAAAAATTATGAGATGAAACTTATAAGAAAGAAAAATATTAATTTCTTGAGAAGCTAATTTTAAGCACAATATAACAACAGAAGCTAAATTTAACCATAATAACAGTTATAATAGAAACAAAATAACATACATAATTTTTAGAGACAGCACTAAATTTACTTTTGATTTTAGTGAATTTGTTTATGACATGGAGGCATAGTTGATAATTGCAGAACAGTGTGCGAGCTATTTGTTTTAGCTTATAGCTTTTTATTTCGATTAATAAGGTTTGGTTGAGGCTAGAGGCTGAAAGATTTCTAAAAGGCTAGTGCGTTGTTGTTGTTCTTCATTTACGTCACACTAGAGCTGCGCAATGGGCTATCGGCGACGGTCTGGGAAACATCCCTGAGGATGATCCGAAGACATGCCATCACAATTTTGATCCTCTGCAAAGGGGATGACACCCCGCTTTGGTAGCCCAACGACCTGCACGCGAAGTCGAACACTTTACAGTAGAACAGTTTAGCAAAGACCAATACCGCACACCCTCGGTCCCTATGCAGACTGATCCAAGTGGTAACCCACCCGCTCACTGACCGCAACCAGTAATGCTTGACTTCGGTGATCTGCTGGGAGCCACGTCTTAACGATCAGTTCACTGTGGGACAAAAGGCTAGTGCGAGGCGAGGATTAAAAGACAAGTTCACAACATCGCTAAATGTTGGGTTCTGAAAAGATAAGGAATTGGTGAAGCTCTTCGCGTAAAATTTGGAATGAGGGATGCTCCAGGTAGGTAGGTGGGTATTTTATTTACACCCTACTAGAGCTGAACAATGGACTATTAGCGACGGTCTTAGAACCATCCCCGAGGATGATCCGAAGACATGTCATCACAATTTTGATCCTCTTCAGAGGGGATGGATCCTGCACTTTGGTAGCCCAACGACCTACGCGTGAAGTCGAGCACTTTAAGGCAGAACAGTTTAACGAGAACCGATACCGTGCACCCTCGGTCCCTGCATAAGTGGCTCAAAGTGGTCACACACCCGTTTACTGACCTCTACCAGTGATGTTCGACTTCGGTGTTTTATTGGGAACAGTGTCTTTATGATCAGTCCACTGAGGGATGAGGGATATTCCAGGACCCCAAACCTCGCAGACTTCAACAAGGACGGTGACGTCACTATTCCCCGGAGTCTATTCTATGGAAGGGTGGTCTAATGTAAACAATAACACGCGTCCTTAAACCGGAAGAAATTTAGAAAATTTCCGGTGTATCCCTCCGCTTATGTTATGACTACGAGGCGATGTGTGAACAAGCCAAATATTCTATGCAGTTTTGTTATTGTAATTTGGGTTCAAATCTAAATATAATTGTACCATTCATAAGAGCTTTTAGAAATGTATTGATTCTCAGAGGTCGGAAGGCCAAAAAAAATTTCGGAAAGTTAATATCTCATTGTGAATAATTCTTAAGGTTTGCCATGTTTTGTATTTTATCCCTTATTTGGCTACATTTGAATAAAATGTCGCCAAAAATATATTTTTAAGTTAGCCTAATTAGAAAATATTCTAATGGTTATAATATTAATATGATAATGCTGAAGTTTAAAGGCTGAAAGAAAGAACTCGGTACATGTGAAATACTGCAAAAGATATGATGCAATAATATGATGGCGCGTTTTTTCAATCTGCGGCGTAAAAATATATCGGAAGCAGTAACCCGGAAGTCTTAAAAGAGCAATTTTACCACTAGCGCCACCACTCTTAGCTTTACACGATCACCCATCCATACCACCGTCCGATAGTAAAACAAAATCCAAACCTCGCATCTCCCGAAGAGAGCGGTGAAGGGAATCCCAGCCCTCGAACAAAGGTTCGGACCCTCCCCCTAGGAAGTGACGTTTTGTGTCGATAGTTATAAGAAAGTGATCAATGGCTTTTGTTTATCCTTTAATCGTTCTCCTTTATTTATGAACGAGGATAAAGGGTCATGTATTGACATAGGCGCCTCAATAACCCCAGGCTAAAGTAGCCACCGTGACTTCGCTTGGGGGTCGTGACCTCCATCCCAGAGTTTACAGCGTTCTTTCAGAAAGAGAATGTATTCTTCTTTCATTTTGACAGTTACATACATAGTCTAAAATAAATATCTACATATTTTAATCTCTGATCTTTCTTCAAGAATGTAATATGTAATACTCGTTTTAAACTTGCTTGCATTATTGTATTAATATTAGAGAATCGATTCACTTATAACTAAATTTACTAACAGTTTGCCAAAAAAAAAGAAATAATCTTAAAATAAAAAATAATGCATCAAATAATACAAATCAATAATACAAATCAAAAACATCTTTATTTATTACCTTTTCTAAAAATCATACTTTGAATGTTGTTTTAAATAAATGTAATTGAGTCATTCAGAAATTTTATCACTAGATTATGAAACTTCAGAAATTATATGTATATTATCGAGAGCTTATAGATTTAAAGAACTAATGATTAATAAGGGTTATTTAATTTCACAAAATTTTGCAATTTTCTATTTTTACTTATTTTATTATTTATAAAATTTTTATTATATTTATGATTACTTTATTACCTTCTATTACTTATAATTATTTTATTTTTTTTAATATTTGCAATTGATAAAATGTGTAGCTTTATACTTTATACCACTAAAATCTTTTAGTTTTAAAGCTACAATAAGTATCAAAATAACGCGCAATAAATAAGCTTTAATAAATAGGTAGAATGCATGAAAAAAACCTTAAACTAGCATTTTTTAAATAATTGTTAGTTTAAATAATCTGAAAAAAAATTTGCATTACAATTTTAAAAGAAACTGCTTTTTCAATTTTTCACTTTCTTTTTTGTTATGATTCCTCTTTTTTTTTCGCAATTGCAAACTTATACTTTATTATTTATTTATCGAATATATTTTGGTATTATAGATATAAGAGTAAAAATATCTTTTTGTCTTAGAAAATAAAAGTTGAAATTTTCGCATTTTAAAGTATGAACAGAAAAATAAAAAAAAATAATAAAAATGTTTCTTAATTATGCACTTAAATTTAACTGCAACTTAATAATTCAAAAACGATTATATCGAAAAAATTTCCACTCTTCATATTCCATGCTTTTTATTACCCACTTGTATTCTACCCAACTCAAAAGACAAATGAAAATAAATGAAATTATGCTTCTTAATTATGCATCTGAACTAATCAACTACTTTATAAAAATTACAAAACCGGTCATATTCTAAAAGCTTCAATTCTTTCAAATCTCTGATAGAAAATTGCATCGTATATAATATAAATAAGACAGGGGCGTACGCAAGGGAGGGGTTTAGGGGTTTAAACACCCCCCCTTGAGCTCAGACAAAATGGCAAAAATAAAAATTTTAGTAGAAATTATGGGGGCTATTATTTTTTAAGACTATATATATTTTTTTGTCTTATGCTTACTTTTTTTTCTCACGGTATTTCTCACTGAAAGAACATTTACTATAATATAAAGTTGTACTTTTGAAACCAAATTCGCGTGATACTGTTACGGGCTGGTTCCTTTCCGTCCTGCCAGTCGCGATAGTTTTCGAGATTGGCAGTCAGTCTTTCGCGAGGTCTTTACGCGATGATTCAGGAATCCTAGACGTTCTGTCGTCTTAGAGACAATT